TGTACGTGGTTCGATAACCTGCTGCGAGAACGGTACGCGTGCGGTTTGAAGCGAGCCAACGTTCACAACTGAGCTACTAGCGTACACACTAGAACTTCGTACTGTATCACGCATGTTACGGTAACAGATCGCTAATGCGTACCCGGCTTTACTGTCTTCCGAACTCCCGGCAACAACAAAAGAGTTAAACAAAAACCAATTACAGAAAAAACACTCCCTCCACTTTCTTCCAGCGTTCTTTTTACATGACGCGCCCTGTACAAGTCCTGACATGTTTGTTCAATTACTTTCCGCTTTGCTAAATTGGTTTAGACTAGGTCGTACTAGTTTATCCTAGAGTGTGCGTATTTATATCAGGATCATCTAGTTTGGCCTAGGCTAAACTGGTTTATCCTGTCGCGCTTAGGATAAATTAGTTTGGACTAGGCTATACTAGTTAATCCTATCGCGTATAGGAAGAACCAGTTTAGCCTAGGCAAAACTAGATTGTCCTGAAATCGGGTTTGGCCGGTAACATATACACTACTGCAAACTTATGTTGCCCATTTTTAGTTTCTAACTACTAAGAAAGATAAAAATCTTTTGTATTGTATTTTTTTGGAATTTTTACATTTTTGTTTTATTTTAACTAGATGAATGTACTCAGAATACTCACAACTTTACACTTGTAATGAATACAATGCGTGCAGATGTGGAAAAATCGAAAATGAAAAAGAAATAAAAATTTTGGAAACGAGTCGAGATCATTTCCAGTACCTCCCATACAATCCACAAAAAAATGCGAACCATATAGGTGTTGTACGTGAATTTCTGCATTTCATTTACATTCGCTATATCTCTTTCCAGATTGGCTATCCATCTGACGTTGAATCGCAGCACCGAGATGACTGAATCCTAGCTCTTGAATTGTTTCGAAATCTATTGTAACCATCTTTTTATTTTTGACGTGATAACGTCTTACAATTCGATGGTGCCGGTTGAAGGCACGAAAAAACATGACTCATCCGGCGTTACCTGGCTCTGAGGCGTCCCATTTATGGCTTGAAGTGCAAGCGAGAGCGCGCAACGAGCAACAAAGAGGCACAATCAGCCCCCGCGTTCGGCAGCGTTCAACATCTGTCTCTCTCTTTCTTGAGTGAGCGATGCGTCCGCGTGGACAGCTGCTATACAATAATACATTTATATTATATTGTTTTAAACTTTCATGGCCACTAACATTATAGATATTAGCGGGATTGTTACCATGTACCTACCGCCTAATTCGCATCGAATAAAAATTAATCTACCTGACGGACTAAGAAAAAAAGGTTTTGTCATCATCCCTATTGCCATATAGTAGGTAGGTACCTATTGTAGTTAGATTCTTACGTCTGTTATAAAGTCTAAGGCAAAACTTAGTTTTATTTTTAGTTATCTGTGATGATTATTGTTTTTGTTATTTAATTTTAACTTTATTTTTTTTATTATATAAATGAAAAGTTTGAAGTTGTAGAATTATAAAACAAGCAATTCATTATAGTTATTAACGAGATCGTTGCCAAGTACCTTGTTTTTTATGAGTCTGAGATATTTCGGCACTGTTGCAAGCGCCATGATCACGGAGTAACTGAAGTAATTGCGGGTAGATGTAATTGGCAGACATATCGGTCTATCCTCTGACGTCGTCTTTTACTGCGTTCGACGCCCCTACCACTGGTCACATTCTCACTATTCACTTGCATTTGTTCCCGGCACACAATACTCACAGTATCAGATCACGGAACGACACTTTTTTGATTTTTGGGGTAATATGGGAGACTCATAAAAAACAGGGTACATGGTAACAATCCCGTTAATATCTATAATGTTACTGACCATGAAAGTTTAAAACAATATATTTATTCTTTTAGTTTAGCTTAGTTTAGTTATGTCTTTGTTACAGCTAAAACACTGTTTACGTCTCACAAAACTAGGTTCTTAGGAATTCTCCGAATATTCTGCGTATTCACGCAGTTGCATTGATCGCAAATGTTCGACAGTGCGTTGACTGCCACCACTCCGGGTATTGTTTCTTCTGCGAAGCATATCGCTTTCCCAATCAAACGTGCTCTCTCTTTATAGATTGGTAAGTACGGTCCTTTTGCCGCAAACATTTTAGTAAATTGGAAAATTTTGCAAGCAGCATTCTCAATTACTTCATTAAATTTATCGTTGATGCAAGCAGCGACTAGTATTTGATTTGTTGAATGCTATCGAAGCCACATGTGTTAGTCACAACCCAGTGGCGGACTAAGCCCATCAGAGGCCCGGGGCGGCAAAGCAGAATGAGCCCCCCCCCCCCCCCCCCCAGCTTACAAAAAATAGTTTCTTATGTTTATTTCGTTAAATCTGGCAAGTGAAATTTAAATTAAAATTAAATTATTTTGGCTAAATAAACATACATACCTACAATATGGAATGAATATGGGTGAGAAAAAATGAAATACGAATCGATCGATTTACTTTGTCGCTACACGACAAAAATGGCGCCCAACTCTTAAGTCTATAGGTCTTCCTTTAAGTTTTCCTCTTCCCTTTCCTTATCTTTATTTTACACCCCAGCCTTCCATTAAATTCTAAAACAACACTTCTTCTAGTGTTCCTATCCTTATTCATCCCTTTGGCATCTTATTTGGAAATAAAAAAAACCCCTTTATCTTCAAAAAAAATAATACATATTATATATAAATAAATATATTGTTAATATTTATCTTACATCTATTGTAAATATAAGCCATCTTATTCCTTCAATTACTTAGAATCTTAACTTTTATTTAACTTTTCTATTTAATTTTTTTCTCTAACTTTTATCCCTCACTGAACTTCATTTTTACTCACTCTAATTTTAATTTAATTTTAGAATGAAACAAGGTATTTCATTTGAACTTTATTAACTTAATTCTAAACAATGGCTCGATTAATTAAATTTGTATATCTCAACAAAGCTGAACTAATTTATGAGGTAACAATTAGATTAGAGGATCCAGCAAATACAGTCCTAGAGTTGAGAAAACAGATTCAAAGACTCTCTTCGATAACTTCGCCGGAGAATATTCTAACTTCTCCTTTTCCAGTTGATGAGGATCTTGCTCAACTTGATACTACCATAGTTCGTCCTCCAGACACTCAAGCTGCCACAGAGAAGATTGCCGTATTGTCACACAGTAAAAACTTTTCTTTTAGAATGCTGGCCTGGCCTGGCTGGCCCATGAAAATAGAAATATATACTTTTTAGAATTTTATTCATTTTTAAATATGGAGTGGACGGTTAAAGAAGACCGTGTTGCAGTTATTGCGTTGCATCGTTGCGGTTACGCGCCAATTCAAATTTTTGACATACTGAAAAATTTGAATATAACCAAAAGATTCGTTTATCGTACCATCAAACGATACAATGAAGACTCTAGTGTAGATGACATGTCAAGAAGTGGTCGCCCTCGGTCTGTTAGGACTCCAGCAGTGATAAAAGATGTGAAGGCGCGAATTCTAAGAAATCCCAAACGTAAGCAGAAACTGTTGGCCCTTCAGATGGGGTTAAGCAGAACCACGGTGGAAAGGGTGTTAAATGAAGACTTAGGCCTTCGGGCATATCGAAGTAAAACAGGACATCGTTTGAATGCTCGTCTAATGGACCTGAGACTGAAGAGATGCCGCGCTTTGTTGAAGCGGTACATGGGAAAAAAATATTGGGGAATTCTTTCTTCGGATGAAAAAAAATTTACCGTAGAAGAGAGCTACAACAAACAAAATGATAAGGTGTACGCACACAGTAGTGAAGAAGCGAGCAACCGTATTCCGCGTGTCCAACGAGTTCATTTTCCATCCTCGCTCATGGTATGGTTGGGAGTTTCTTATTGGGGCTTAACAGAGGTACATTTTTGTGAGAAAGGTGTAAAAACGAATGCAGTTGTGTATCAAAATACAGTCCTGCCGAACCTTGTGGAACCTGTTTCTCATACCATATTCAATAACAGGCACTGGGTATTCCAACAAGATTCGGCGCCAGCTCATAGAGCGAAGAGCACACAAGACTAAGAAAATCTGAGAGAAATCGACTTCATCCGGCAAGAAGACTGGCCCTCCTCCAGTCCAGATTTGAGTCCGTTAGATTACAAGATATGGCAACACTTGGAGGAAAAGGCGTGCTCAAAGCCTCATCCCAATTTGGAGTCACTCAAGACATCCTTGATTAAGGCAGCCGCCGATATTGACATGGACCTCGTTCGTGCTGCGATAGACGACTAGCCGCGAAGATTGAAGGCCTGTATTCAAAATCACGGAGGTCATTTTGAATAAATTTTATTGTCATAAGAATCTATGTTTTGTTAAGTTCATTTAGGTATATAAATGGTTACATAATGAATAAACTGGTTTCAATTATTTTATATTAAACATGTGACAGAATTTATGACCTGACTAGGTATATATCCTATACTGTTCTTCTGATTTTCCTTTACTCTTTTTCTTTCTATCTATTTATTTAGTCGCTACACGACAAAATGGGACGGAAGTGTGTAACAGGAAGTCGCGAAAGCGCGCGCTTTTTGATTTGATTTTAGAACATGTTCAAATGGCTTATTCCTCTTGGAGTAGGTTTTATTTCTTTTTTACTAATATAAGGTGAGGTTTCAAATGTTACACATCATACGGGAATACTGTAAGGGTCGCTCGTTTTTTTTAAATAAAAGCAGGTCTGCTTTTGCTCATGTAGTATTGAAATAGAATAACTGTACTTAGGTATTCCAAATAATTTTGAGTCTGAAAATATTAAAGTAATGTGTTCTCTAACGGCTCCGCAAAACTAATTTTATTATTATATTGACTATTACTCAAATCCCTTGCAAGTTACACGATAAGAGGTCATTGTTAAATAACAATCGTAAAGTAACTAATGATGTAAGCAAATATACACATAATAATTGTATTTGCCTTAATAACTTTTCTTATCTGGTCAAAGAGGCGTTTTGACCTCTATATCAGTAGCCACGTAGTTCTTGACTTCGTAACACATTAAAATGCTTACGATTGTCTTACAAAAATAATACTTAAATATAGTTAAAAAAATGCATCGTTATTTAAAGGATAGCGTATTGTTAAAAAAATCTTTAGAGAAAATATATAATGCCAAAAATAGTGTAAGATGTGTAGCTACCAAAGGATTGAATTCAGATATCTTGTTTCCCGAGAGAGCAGACTTTCCCGGGAGGCATATAGGGCCTCGTGATCAAGATGTGGTTACTATGCTGGATTTATTGGGATACAAGGTTTGTATACTAATTCCATTCCTTATTGTTTTGACTTATACAAAATTTATAAATGAGAAATTAAGGTAGTCAATTACCATCACTCCATATCTACTCATATTAATTTATGGCATGTTAATGTTTATTATTGTATTTTGAGACAAATCATAATTATTGTTATGACCACGCTACCACGAGAAAAATAGCAATTATTAAAAGTAGATAACAATGAAAAGTTTCAGGGTTACAGTGTTACCGTTTGTACGTGTGTACAAAAGCAATTTACTAAATTCATGATTGTGATTCTAGAGCTTAGACCAACTGACAAATGATGCCGTTCCGAAGAAAATTCAACTGCAAGGTTTAATGGACATCAGTGAACCGATGAGTGAGTAAATTGAAGTTTTTATAGGTGAAAATTCGTCAGCTTAGCATAGATTCTTAAGACATGCGGACATAAATACAATGTACATATATAAATACTTATTTCAAGAGAGAGCATAGCATATCGGACTATTCGTTCTCATTGGAGCACCCGTCTTGGGAAGTAGGTAACTTCCAACTTACAGAAAACTACAGCTAAGACTTTCATCAGCTGTTGATGGTGTGTTGTTTCTGTTCGTAACATACCTACAAGTAGGCAAATTTCACGGGGTAGGGGAATGGATTCAGACCAGTAAGGTGAGAATGGCTGAAACGATCCACTTTCTTGCCACTTCACTTTTGTTTTTTCGTCATAACTTTGAACTGTGTTGCAATTTTTTTTGAATAACATTAAATTTGATTGAGTTAATTCGACGTTGTGGTAACTTGATATATTGATATCTGTAAGACGCAAAACGATTAGTAAAATTCTACTTCTTTTAATAAATTATGAGTCCATGAAGGTATTGACCCAGAATAATGATAAATATAATAGAGAGAATTAAATGGCGCGTTAAAATTGGTTTGTTTTCAGGCGAATACGATCTCATAGACCGCGTACGCATAATAGCCGAAAAGAATCGAATATGGCGCTCTTATATCGGTATGGGGTATCATAACTGCTGCGTGCCGCATTCCATCATGAGAAATATGTTTGAAAACCCGGGATGGTAAGCAATAAGCACCTAAATACCTATTACCACACACAACACAATAGTCATACAATACATAAGATCTATTTATGTGAATAATCTACTTACTACTTAACACTACCTGCCTAATTTTTAATTTATAACAGTATGACACAGAATGACTAGTTATTATAACAGACTTTTCTTCATATTTTAAGTTTTTTTTCTAAGTGAAATTTTTATTAAATCGCGACAAATTTTTTTTTTCATCTTTAGGACGTCGCATTACATTTTTAATTGATATTTAAAAATTCAGTTCGTATCAACAAGCATCGCTGGTTCAGGGGAAGAAAGCTCGGGAGAAACCTTCTCTGCCTTATTTTTAATCACGGTTTTAAAAGTTTCACTTCCATCGTGGTTTCATAAAACCTCAAAAAATTTGATGTTACTGACAAACAATAACACACACACAGTCAGGTCATAGGTATTGTCACATAGAAAAAACTTTTCTTTTAGAATGCTGGCCACAAAAAAGTTTATCGAATTCGAATTTCGAATTGTTCATGAAAATAAAAATATGGAGTGGACGCTTAAAGAAGACCGTGTTGCAGTTATTGCGTTGCATCGTTGTGGTTACGCGCCAATTCAATTTTTGGACATATTGAAAAAATTTAATATAACCAAAAGATTCGTTATCGTACCATCAAACGATACAACGAAGACTCTAGTGTAGATGACAGGTCAAGAAGTGGTCGCCCTCGGTCTGTTAGGACTCCAGCAGTGATTGGACCGAGGAGCTAGGTTCACAACAGTTTGGGACCAGAACCCTGGAGGCGCTGCGACCACTCAGCCAATGGAGGGAGAGGAGGCATGGGTCACTGACTTTCCGTCTGGTGCAGGTGCTGTCAGGGCACGGATGCTTTGGCAGATACCTGCATCGCATACGGAGGGAAGCGACCCCGTCGTGCCATCATTGTGGCGCTGTCGAGGACACGGCGCAGCACACCCTCGAGGAGTGCTCGTCGTGGTCTCGGCAGCGCCATGATATGGTCATGGCAATACGACGGGATCTCTCGCTGCCCAGCGTCGTTAAAGCGATGCTGGACAGCGACAGATCCTGGACTGCGGTAGTCTTCTTCTGTGAGGAAGTCATCCTCCAGAAGGAGACAGCGGAGAGGGCCCGCGAGGAAGACGCCCGGGCCTGCCCTCTCCGTCGCCAACGGCGGGGTGGAAGGCGGCGGCGGTACAACCGCCTCTTTCCACCCTAGTGAGGCTAGCGGGCGGCGGACAGGGTGGTCCGTCACCCGCATTGCACAGTCTCACCCGTCTACGGGGGATGCGTGGGTGCTCCCGGGCATCCTCCCGGCCGCCAGGAGGAGGAGGAACCCCTGCCGGGGGTAACGTGAAGAGTCACCTGGATCCCACGAAACCCGTTCCGGCAGGCGAGGGAGCACTGTTGGGTTTTTAGTGGGTAGGGCCGCCCCCTCATCCCGAGCAGCCGCTGAGCCAGTTTGGCTGAGCGGGTGGGCAGGATGTGGGGGAGGATGAGTCCCACATAACCCCGTCAATCACCCAGGGGCGGGTATGCGTCACGCATTTTCCCAACACAAAAAAAAAAAGGATTCCAGCAGTGATACAAGCTGTGAAGGCGCGAATTCAAAGAAATCCCAAACGTAAGCAGAAACTGTTGGCCCTTCAGAAGGGGGTTAAGCAGAACCAAGAAGAGAAAAGGGTGTTAAATGAAGACTAGGGCTAGGGCACATCGAAGAAAAACAGGGCATTGTTTGAATGCACGTCTAATGGACCTGAGACTGAAGAGATGCCGTGCTTTGTTGAAGCGGTACGCGGGAAAAAAATATCGGAAATTTTTTTTTTCGGATGAATAAATTACCGTATTCGAAATGTTGACCACCTGATGTACTATGCCTCTCCACGCATTCCTGTCCTCGGCAGTCTTTATAGCCTTGGTTATTGATAGGCCAGTGAGCGACTTTACTAGGTCTGACCAGTGGGTAGGCGACCGACCGCGTGATCTTCTCCCGTCGACCTGGCCAACCACCATCAGCTTCTCTAGGCTGTCAGGGTTTCTGCGAGCGATGTGTCCGAAATACTTAAGTATGCGCTGGTAACAGATAGTGGACAACCTTGTGGTGATGCCGAGCTCATCAAGTATGGACACGTTGGTTCGCCGTGCAGTCCATGGGATTTTTGTATTTTTTTGACAATGTCCAAATCAGCGATGACTAAACTCACAACATAATCAGTTTAGTCATCGCTGATTTGGACATTTGGATTCTTCTAGATATCTCTCCCTCGCTGCCACCCACGCTGCTGAGAAGAGAGCCCAGGTATACGAAATGGTCAACAAATTCCAGGTTCATTGGAGCGAATTAGTGTACCAGGTCTGTCTACCACCAACACCTTGGTCTTCGCCTTGTTAATGGTGAGGCCAACTAATTCACTCTCTCTTTCCACTCTAGAAATGAGTTCAGCCATTTCTTGCTCGGACGTTGCGAACAGTGTGGTGTCATCTGCATATCGCAGGTTACTAATTTTTCTGCCACCAATGGACACTCCACCCTCCCAACCATCCAAAGCTCGTCTCATAATATATTCCCCATAGATGTTGAAGAGGATCGGCGACAGTATACACCGCTGTCTAACACCTTTCTGTGGCTTAAAGGGTTTTGGCAGAACATTGTTCACCTTAACTATTGTGCTTCCATCCCGATAAAGATTTGCGATGAGAATAACGAGGTGCTTTGGTACTCCCATTTCTGTTAGAATCTTCCATAGGCATTCCCACCTGACACAGTCAAACGCTTTTGAGTAGTCAACGAAGCACATCAGTACCGGAATATTAAACTCGCGGCATTTCTCTATTATTTGCCTAACATTCACGATCTGTTCTCTTGTACCCCGTCCCTTAACAAATCCCGCTTGGTTTACTGGAATCTGCCACTGCAAGAATACTTTGAGGCGTTCATTTATTACGTACAGTAGGATCTTGTGTGATCTGTAGTTGGCACACGACTTGGTTGAACCTTTCTTGTGCAGAGGTATTAAAATGGATTCCTGCCAGTCACTGATCCATTCGCCGTTTCTCCATATTTGATTGCATAGGTTTTGTAGAATGCATATACCGTCATCTCCAATTAGCTTCAGATTTTCGGCAATAATATAGTCACTTCCGGCCGATTTATTATTTTTGAGCTTCTTCAGCGCAAATTCGATTTCGGATTTCAGTATATCTGGTTCCTTAGGAACATCAGTCATGCTGTTTCGCAGGTTTATTGTTTCCGCTGTCTTGTCTGCGTACAATTCTTCGCAATAACCTTTCCACCTATCTACTACCTTATCAATTTCTGTGAGCAACCCTCCGTTTTTGTCTTCTACAGCCCACGTTTTTACGTTGAAGTCCCGCGTTATGGACTTTATTTTCATAAAAATATCTCGAGTGTGCAGCTTCTGGCCATGATCCTCAATTTCAGAGCAGATATTTGTTTCTTAGGTTTTCACGCACATCACTCATTAAATAAAACTAGTTTAAACGGGATAATGCACGAAACTTTATTTATTTATTGACGTTTCGTAGCCTTTCCAGGCTTCGTCGTCAGAATAAAACTTTTGTTTAATTTGTCGAGCTACCTTCGAAAGACTTTTTATTTTTAAAAGTCTTTCGAAAGGCTACGAAACGTCAATAAATAAATAAAGTTTCGTGCATTATACCGTTTAAACTAGTTTTATTTCAGAGCAGATGTTATTAAAATACTGGTGTTTATCTTGCCTAGATCGCCGCTGTATTTCTTTCGAGAGAGCTTTATAATGTTCACGGCTATCGCCTTTTGAGAGGTTTTTCAGTAGATCTTTCTTCTCGGTGATAATGTCCCATGTCCCATCTGATAACCATGAACTGCGGGGTGAGTCAAGACTTTCAACTTGGCTTTCTTTGTGAGTTGTGAGCAACAGTTCTTTCAACTTCCCCCAACCCTCATTCACATTAGAGCTGTCATCCATTTGTCGTCCCGTGGACAGTGGTATGGTTGGGAGTTTCTTATTGGGGCTTAACAGAGGTACATTTTTGTGAGAAAGGTGTAAAAACGAATGCAGTTGTGTATCAAAATACAGTCCTGACGAACCTTGTGGAACCTGTTTCTCATACCATGTTCAATAGCAGGCACTGGGTATTCCAACAAGATTCGGCGCCAGCTCATAGAGCGAAGAGCACACAAGACTAAGAAAATCTGAGAGAAATCGACTTTATCCGGCACGAAGACTGGCCCTCCTCCAGTCCAGATTTGAGTCCGTTAGATTACAAAATATGCCAACACTTGGAGGGAAAGGCGTGCTCAAAGCCTCATCCCAATTTGGAGTCACTCAAGACATCCTTGATTAAGGCAGCCGCTGATATTGTCATGGACCTCGTTCGTGCTGCGATAGACGACTGGCCGCGTAGATTGAAGGCCTGTATTCAAACTCACGGAGGTCATTTTGAATAAACTTTATTGTCATAAGAATCTATGTTTTGTTAAGTTCATTTTGGTATATAAATGGTTACATAATGAATAAACTAGTTTCAATTATTTGACAGAATGTGACAGAATTTATGACCTGACTAGGTATTATAACTATAATTGCTATTTCTTCTTTCAAATGTTTAATACTTGTAAAAGTATTCATTTGACATTGTGGGTTACCTATAATGCGAAGAGATGGCGCTGCCTTGCAGCTTAAGAAGGGCTAAAAGAATTTCGACGCGGTCCCTGAGGGCCGCGGTAGCATAATTGGTCAGTGCATTCGCCCGGATTGCAAAGGGTGCGGGTTCGAGTCCCGTCTGCTGCCTGGTCCACGTGGATTTTTTTGTAGTTATATTTTCTTTAGATTTAAACATCAAGCTTTAAAATAATAAAAATTATAACTGTAATTGCTATTTCTCCTCTCAAATGTTTAATACTTGTAAAAGTATTCATTTGACATTGTGGGTTACCTATAATGCGAAGAGATGGCGCTGCCTTGCAGCTTAAGAAGGGCTAAAAGAATTTCGACGCGGTTCCTGAGGGCCGCGGTAGCATAATTGGTCAGTGCATTCGCCCGGATTGCAAAGGGTGCGGGTTCGAGTCCCGTCTGCTGCATGGTCCGCGTGGATTTTTTTCTATTTATTATTTTCTTTAGATTTAATCATCAAGCAGTTACATGCTTTAAAATAATAAAAATTATAACAACAATAATGTTATCAATTTATTCCATAAGTTATAAAGTAATTAGTCACTTTATCATTCACCCAAAAGACTTGGATTGCTATTATAAATATTACCATAAACTGTTTGTGCTGATGTACACACTGCATTATATTGTTTATTTATCCCACTGTTAAGACGGTTGACAAAACTTTTTTTATTGTTATACATCTGTTTGCCTATTAATGTGTTCATTTCATAAGGACAACACAATATACTCCTTATCAACCCGAAGTGGCTCAAGGGCGATTGGAAAGCCTGCTAAATTATCAGACTATGGTTAGTGACCTCACAGGATTGGACGTAGCGAATGCATCGCTGTTAGATGAAGGCACAGCCGCCGCAGAGGCCTTATCACTATGTCATAGGTAATATTTGTTATCACTTTTTTAAATATATACATAAAATATATCTTGGGCAAAATATCTTGGGGACAAATTTCATCCTCCTTTACAAAAAATCTGAAAACTGGTTTATCAATAGACAATATTTATTGCGAAATCTTGCCACCTCATCATTTTAATTGGCAGTTGAGTTTTAATTTGATTTGATTTGATTTAAATAAATAATAAATAAATATAAATAAATATTTCCAACACTCACACCAATTAGCCTAGCCCCAAAGTAAGCACTATAAGGCTTGTGTTATGGGATACTAGGGTAACGGATAGAATACACATACTTTACATATATAAGTATGTTTATATAGAAATACATATTTAAACATCCATAACTGGAGTACAAATGCTTGTGTTCATCACACAAATATCTGCTCCCACCGGGATTCGAACCCGGGACCTCTCGAGTCGGCGACGCCATGAAACCCGGCGTACAAACCACTCGGCCACGGAGGTCGTCTAATTTGATTTTATTAAATATTCAAATATATTTTAAGTCTCTGATTATTGAAGTTAACGATGTTTCAATACTAACGATTATTAATTACAGACACAACAAAAGGGCAAAATTTGTAGTATCAGAAAGGCTCCATCCTCAAACATTGGCTGTTGTACAAACACGCCTAGATGCCCTTGGGTTGGAAGTGATGGTAGTACCAGATGTACGGCAAGTAGATTTTGCTCAGAGAGACATATCCGCTGTACTCCTTCAGTGTCCCGATACCAGAGGTTTGGTATACGATTACTCTGCGTTGGCGGCCGGTGCGCAGGAGCATGGAGTAAGTTCGATACATAAAATTATTGGGTATGATATCTTAGTAGATTTTTATGTTGGATAAAGGGCAAAAGATAAAGATCAGATGACGACCGTTAACTCTTCAAATGCGAAGAGTAGAAGTCTATAAATGAAATTGATAATATGTGACGACCTGGCAATTTGTTCTTAAACCGTCCAATGGCAAATAAGGCTTCACTGAGATGCAGCCGAAATCACACTTTTAATATTCTATCAACCTTGGAAAGAACGATGATATAAAGTTATGTTATACATTAATTTACTTTCCAGACTTTAGTCGTAGTAGCAACAGACCTCTTAGCGTTAGCGTTGCTAAGACCGCCGGCAGAAAGCGGAGCTGCGCTTGCTGTTGGTACCTCTCAACGGCTAGGAGTGCCACTCGGGTATGGAGGACCGCATGCTGGCTTTTTTGCTGCAGAACATGCTCTTGTGCGACTGATGCCTGGACGCATGGTTGGCGTTACAAGGGATATAACTGGAAGAGATGCATACAGGTATTTTTTTTGCACATACAACACATTTCTGCCTTCTCGTCTTATATTTTATTTTTATTTTATCTTTGTTGCCTTCACAATGCAAATGGCGGACCTAATGCTAGTATGGCATTATCTATCAGTCAACCGGAAAGAAGATGCAGAGAAAATAAAACGGCAGATAACGAAAAGAGTTACCGTCGAACAATAATAATAACTAAATAGCATTACACCTACACATACATACATAAATATTCATTATACCGACATATATGATACACACAAATATACACTCCCGGACTCTTGAATCGAGCCACCTTACAGTGCCGGGCCTAAAAGCCCAATACACAAAAAATCTATACTTATAATAAATCTGTAGAGAAGTCAATTCTGTACATTAAATATATTTAAAAAATTACTAGCAAAGGGTGATAAGGGATCGTTAGTGATCCCAAAAATGCAATCAGTAAAATTTTTGTCTGTCTGTCTGTCTGTCTGTATGTTCAGGCATCACGTAAAAACTAACGGTTCGATTTCGATGAAACTTGGTATAATTATACCTTATTATCCTGGGCATAAAATAGGATACTTTTTATCCTGGAAAAATACGTAGAAAAAAAAAAAATCTTAATTTTTCAGTTTTATTCATTGACGTTATTCTGTAGAACCGCGAACACACAGTGGATTCAGCGCCGTAGCCTGTAGCGCCGAAAGTCGGATTTGGCTTGAACCGTTTGCGACACAAGCGGGCTGCACGACGTCCCGCCTCCCCGACTCCTATATAAGGACGGCGTTCCGCGCCGCGCGATGCATATAAATTCTGAATTTTGATGCGTGCGGACGTGTTTAGTGTGGAATTAATATTGTACGCGTGTAATTTTAAACCGTGCTTTTTGATTACTGGATTTGATGTCAATTCTAAGACTGTTCCGATCAGTTATTTGTAAATATAGTACGTACGTAGTTTAAGTCTTCATCGTGAATTGGTTTATTTAGGTTGGTATTTTATTTTCTTTTTGTTTATCTTTGGAAACATAGGTATAGTAATTAGGTTATAAGGTAAAGTAGGTTAGTTATTTAACTCATATTTCTCTCTCTCATCTCATTTCATTGTATTTCTGTTTATTTTTAATACAGTTTTATTGTAACACGATGCCTGCCAGAAAGCGATCTTCTCTTACTAAAACATCGAAACATGCTAAGCGAATGAGACTAGCTAGATCACAAGAATCAACCGAAGAGCGAGAATCCCGGTTAAACCGCATGCGAGACATAGCGGCTGAAGCAAGAGCACGTGAAAGCAGTGCCGATCGCGAATTGAGATTAAGTGCTGATCGTCAACGTCACTCACTATCTCGCTCCTCTGAAACATTTACTGAAAGGGATATACGCCTCACTACCGACCGTGAACGTCACGTATTGTCTCGGGAGTCTGAGACGTACCCGCAATATCAAGATCGTTTAACGGCTGACCGTGAACGTCACGCGCTGTCACGGGAGTCTGAGACTTACACCCAGTATCAAGATCGTTTGACGGCTGACCGCGAACGTCACGCGCTGTCACGGGAGTCTGAGACTTACACCCAGTATCAAGGTCGTTTGACGGCTGACCGTGAACGTCACGCTTTGAGTCGATCTCTTGAAAGTGACGAAAACCGTTTGCGTCGTTTAGAGGCAGCTCGCGAAAACTACGATTTAAGAGTTCAAAATAATATAGATAATTTGTCAAACGAAAGACAAAGAATAAATGATATTCGGTCATTAGAAACAAATGAGCAATGTGAAGTTCGACTCAGTGGAGATAGATTTCGTCATAATATTGATAGAGTTTTATGTTCATCAGATCATGACGAAGCAGAATCTTTAGATTTGTTGCCATGGATAAATAGAAGCAAAAGTGGATTTGCTTATTACGTTAGAATGAATTATGAATCTTTTGCAGAGATAGGTGAGATGAATATAGTTTGTTCTCATTGTAATTCCTTGAAATGGAGACATGAGTCCGCTGGATTTTGTTGTTCTGGTGGAAAAGTGAATTTACCGCTATTTGAAGATCCACCGGAGCCTTTGAAATCATTGCTCTTAGGAGAACTTATATCTGATTATAACGAACAGTTAGCTGTACGAAATACAAATTTACCACATCTTAATGCAGAATTAATTTTGGCACTTCAGCATATGTTACATCAGGTCAATACGTATGTGCATAGTTTTAAGTCAGCATTGGAATCTATTCCTCAAGGGCAATGTGACAATTATAATGTTGTAATCAATGCCGATAGACGTCCAAGTCAAGAACACCCCAGGCGCTACAATGCACCTACGACTAATGAAGTCGCAGTAGTATTAGTCGACCAAGAATGTGATAGACGAGATATCGTGATTCGTACTAGAGACAACCGTCTGCAGCGTATTTATGAAACTCACAGAGCATATGATAGTTTGCAGTACCCCTTAATTTACTGTCGAGGAGAGGATGGCTATAATTTTGCAGTGTACCAAACTAACCCGGTTACAGGTACCTTAAATTACAGAAAAAAAGTTTCTTCTCTTCAATTTTATTGCTATCATTTGCAGATTAGACGTGATCAACTATTGTATTTGCAACGTTTCCGAGGTTTGTTTAATCAATTCATAGTTGATATGTATGCTAAAATTGAAACTGAACGACTGGTATATATACGTACAAATCAAAGACAGTTGAGAGTTGATGAATATGTACATCTACGCGACGCTATGCAACAGGATGACAATCCCGATAATTTGGGCCGTTTGGTTATCTTACCATCTTTTTTTACCGGCGGCCCGCGGTACATGCATGAGCGAACGCAAGATGCTTTTTGTTATGTAAGGAAATATGGTCGACCAGACTTATTCATTACATTTACTACTAATCCTAAATGGGAGGATATAACGAACAATTTACTTGAAGGACAAGCTTCTTACGACCGACACGATATAATTTCGAGAGTTTTTCATTTAAAGCTGAAATTAATGATTAAGTTATTAACTAAAGAAAAAGTTTTTGGTGATTATTTATCTTATATGTACAGTGTCGAGTGGCAAAAACGAGGGCTACCACACGCTCATATTTTAATTTGGTTGAAAGACAAAATTCGGCCTCATGATGTAGATCATGTAATTAGTGCCGAATTTCCTGACCCAAATGTAGATCCTGTATTATATGAAATCGTTAAAACTCATATGGTTCATGGACCCTGTGGCGCACTACATTCTCACTCTCCTTGCATGCAAAACGGTCGCTGTACTAAACGATATCCAAAATCGTTAGTGGACCAAACTATAACAGGTCATGACGGATATCCTTTATATCGGCGCCGTTCGCCAAGTAGTGGTGGATTTACAGCTGAAAAAAGAGTTCTTGGCCAACAAATCACTTTAGATAACAGGTGGGTCGTGCCATATTCTCCAGTATTATCTAGAGCTTTCGGAGCACATATAAATATTGAAATGTGCAATAGTATTGAATCTATTAAGTATATATGTAAATATATTAACAAAGGTAGTGACCAAGCATCATTTGCACTAAGAAATAACGAACACGATGAGGTAGCTAAACATCAATCGGGACGGTACATTAGTTCGTCAGAAGCAGTGTGGCGAATCTTAAGTTTTCCCATACACGAGCGACATCCACCTGTAATGCATCTCGATATTCACGCAGAGGGAAGTCAAAGTATATATTTCAACCCAGAAAATGTAGCCGAGCGTTTAGTAAATCCAAGACGCACAACTCTTATAGCATTTTTTGAATTGTGTGGCACTGATAGCTTTGCCAAAACTTTACTCTATGATGAGATTCCCGCATATTACACATACGATAAACAACGTGGAGTATTTAACCGTCGTCGACGAGGCTCCCCAGTAGATGGCGCACCTGGAGTTTACAAGGAACATGTAATAGGAAGAGTTTACAGTGTACATCCTAACAATTTTGAATGTTTTTATTTGCGCCTATTATTACATACAGTGCGTGGACCAACATCATTTACTGACTTACGAAAAGTTGACGATATTTTATATCCTTCTTACCAAGCAGCTTGCCAAGCTCGACACTTACTCGAAAATGATCAGCATTGGGACGATGCTTTAGCAGAATCATGCGTCAGTAATAATCCAAGTCGTTTGCGAAATCTATTTGTTGTTTTGTTGACTTTTTGTGCTTTGTCTGACGCTGCGCAGTTATGGGAAAAATATAAGAAGCAACTCTCTGAGGACTTTTTCAGGAACATCTCACGTGATCAAGATACTGAAATAAATGACAATTGCCATGATTTAGCTATAAATCAGTGTTTGTTAGCTATTCAAAATGAATTAATAGCTGTCGGAGGTAAAACTCTATCAGAATATGGTTTGCCTACTCCTACTATAGCTAACGAACGAATTAACAGGGAATACGCTGCAGAACTTAATTATAATGCTGCAGAACTATTGGAAACTTTAGAAAACGGAGTACCAAGTATGACACCGGAACAAAAACAGGTATTTGACCGTGTCTGCCATAGTGTAAGCAATACTTTGGGACAAATTTTATTTCTCGATGCACCTGGTGGAACTGGGAAGACGTTTCTCACTAAATTAATATTAGCCCACTTAAGGAATCAAAACAAAATTGCACTTGCAGTTGCTTCCTCGGGTATAGCAGCGACTTTGTTACCAGGAGGCAAAACAGCGCATACGATGTTCAAAATACCAATAGACCTTGACCGCACGGAAAATCCAGTATGCGGTATTACTAGAAACTGTGACAAAGCGCAGGTTATCCGGGAGTGTAGTTTAATCATCTGGGACGAGTGCACTATGGCTCACAAAAAAGCCATAGAGGCAGTGGACAGGACTCTGAGGGACATCAGGCACATAGACCAACCCATGGGTGGTATAACTGTTCTTTTTTGTGGCGACTTCAGACAAATTCTACCGGTGATACCACGAGGAACACGAGCTGATGAAGTCAGAGCTTGCCTTAAAAGGTCGAGTCTATGGCAACATATTATATCCATGCATTTAACAACAAATATGCGGGTGAGACTCGGAGATGACCCACATGCACAACAATTTTCAAATTTATTATTAAAAATAGGCGAGGGAAGTTATCCAAATGATGAAGGAAAAGTAGCTTTAAATGATGAGTTGTGTTGTACTGTTTCGTCCCTGCAAGAGCTAATATTTGCGGTTTACGGAGACTTAAGCAGCGTTACGCATCAGCACAATACTTGGTTATGCAAAAGGTCCATTCTTACTCCTCGGAATGACCAAGCATCTATAATAAATAATGAAATATTGTCACATATTCAAGGAGAAAGTCGAGAGTATATCTCTATTAATAGAATGATGGATCAAGAAGAGTCCACTAATTACCCCATAGAATTTTTAAATTCGTTAAATGTTTCTGGACTTCCTTCACATATAATTAAGTTAAAAATCGGCGTTCCTATTATTCTTCTTCGTAATTTAAGTCCTCCGAAGCTTTGTAACGGCACTCGATTGAAGGTGGTTAATTTACAACCTAACGTAATTGAAGCTGAAATTTTAACCGGTTGTGGTGCCGGGGAAAGTGTTTTAATCCCTCGAATACCATTGATTCCCAACAATTTTCCATTTCAATTTAAGAGAATACAGTTTCCTGTAGCTTTGTGTTACGCCATGACAATAAATAAGGCTCAAGGTCAGACCCTAGGAGTTGCTGGCGTAGATCTTACCGCGAGTTGTTTTTCACACGGGCAACTTTACGTAGCTCTTTCCCGTGTAAGCAGTCCAAGAAATCTTCATGTTCATATTCCGGACGAGCTCACTAACAATGTTGTGTATGCTGAAGCTCTCAATTAACTTTCTGTCGCATTGTCACAATCACTTTTTAATTATTGCAAACTTTTCGTCACTGTCAATAATTTACTGCTTCATGCTACTTATAAAGGTCGGAATTACTATGAAAAAAATACTTACTACAGAACGCAAGCTCAACAGCAGTAGCTCAATAGAGGGATCTCCTTAATTAAGTATTATAGGCCTAGCCGTATGTGGGTCCAATAGATATTTATTTGATGTCATTGTCAGAGTTACTCAAAATGGACAAATAAACCATCCACGCGAAGACCGACATCCGCGCGGACGGAGTCGCGGGCACAGCTAGTATACAATATAACAAAAAAGTTTTTATGCATTTTCAATGCTGGCATATTTCATCGTCTTAACCGTATGTATTATTCCAAATTTGAATTTTAGAATTTAAAATAAAGAACAAAAGACGAGCTTGGTCACTGATTTGAAAAAAATAATGACTGTTGAAAGTTGCTTTTGAAGCAATTTAATGTCGATTTGGTTTGAATTTTCGCAATTGTTGTAAACCAAAGTTTAGTTTTGTTATTTTTCTATAATTTGAACCGTTTTTGGCTATAAAATTATGGATACTTCACCTGAAGTAGCAGCGCAAGCTGTAGCACTTCTTCAATCTGGGCTAAGTCAGCGAGATGTGAGTTCACAACTTCACATAAGTCGTTCCGCTGTTCAAAGAGTGTACCACCGATACCTGGAGACTGGCAGCTTCGTTCGGCGAACAGGAGGACCTCGTTACCGAGTGACAACGGCGAGACAAGATCAATACATTGTCACTACTAGCTTATGAAATCGACGCCTTAACTCTGTTCAGATACAAGAACATCTCAGGGACTTTCACGGAGTGGCTGTAAGTGCTCGGACCGTTAGAAGGCGACTCAATGAACGTGGTTTAAAGCCCCATAAGCCAGCCAATGATCCAAATTGACACGAGCACACCGAATAGCCCGTCTAGAGTTTGCGCGCGAACATCTAAATTGGACTCGACATCAATGGAGCCAAGTTCTCTTCACAGATGAGTCCAAGATAATGCTATACGGTAATGACGGAAGGAGTAAGGTGTACCGAAGACAGAACGAGCGTTTCGCGCAATGCTGTATTGACGAGAAGGTGAGTTATGGTGGGGGATCATGGACAGTCTGGGGAGGAATCTCTATGGAAGGCAAAACTGAGCTAGAGGTAGTGACGGGACCACGACTGCCGCCCCTAGATGGCAATAGATACATTCGCCAATGTTTAGAGAACCACGTGATGCCATATGCTGGATTTATTAGCCAAGATTTCGTTTTAATGCATGATAATGCAAGGGTCCATACTGCGGGAATCGTCAGAGAGTACTTAAATGACATTGGTATCACTGTTATGAGATGGCCAGTGCGAAGTCCTGATATGAATCTATGGGATGAGCTGAAGAGGCGTGTTCGAGCTCATCATCCTGCCCCGCAAACCATGCAGGAGGTCAAAAATGTAATTTTGGAAGAATGGGAGGACATTCCTCAACATGTCATAACGACATTGATTAATTCTATGCCAAACCGCTGTCATAAATGCACTGGGAGGCAATACAAGTTACTAAATAAACATTTCTTTTCATGTAAAACATGTCTTTATTTAAAAATCGATTAGATTTTTTTCCTTGAAAGAAGCAAATATGGGTTTCAACGTAACTCGACTTTTTAAATAAACTGTAGTTCAAATTTAGAACAGTGGCACTCTAAATGAATGATGAGTATACCAGCTCCAAAACTGCATCAAAACATTTTCCTCCTACATACATCTTTTTGTAAGTTACAGTACTCCAAACCAAAAAAATCAAGGTGGCTCGATTTAGGTATCCGGGAGTGTATATTGAATATAGTATTCTAATTCAATTTAAGCATTTTGCAGTAAATTTAAATTATGTTACCGCGCCAATGTCCGAATGGCAGAAAGGGTGTATGAACTGGAGACAAACCTAATATGGTGGACGGGTACTTCAAGTATTAAATTGTCATTGGAAGGGAGATAAAGTGTAGGTGTAGTGATCCCCTATTCTACGAAAGTAAAAAATCAGGCCAAGGGTATTTTATTTTCTTAGAATAGGGGATCACTACACCATTATCTTAACGGTTGGAATCTTTTATAATATGGATAATAAAACAAAACGTCTATTCCACGAATATGACATTATTAGAGCATATAAAATTTCAGATTAGCGCTTCAAACAAGAGAACAACATATTCGGAGAGACAAAGCCACTTCCAATATTTGCACAGCACAAGCTCTATTGGCCAATATGTCTGCCATGTACGCCGTGTATCATGGACCTCAAGGTTTGCGGGATATTGCTGCTCGTGTTCATAATTCTACGCTCGTGTTGGATCATGGTAAATTAAAATATAATGCTCCCGCATTCTAAAACTGATAATAAAGCCCATAATAATAGTCTTTACCACATGTGGCATTAAGGGCATCAAAATGGTATTGAATCTTTTTAGTAATTAGCTTTTTTATCTTTGAATTCATTTTTAGGCATAAGGCAACGTGGGCATAAGCAAAGTAACGATGTCTATTTCGATACTTTATACATAGTTCCATTGCCCGAACATAATGCAAGTGACATTAAAGGTCGCGCTCAAGAGAAGAAAATAAACTTAAGATACTTCGATGACGGTGCTGTCGGTGTAGCATTAGACGAGACCACGACCATGCAAGATGTTGATGATTTGCTGTGGATATTTGATTGTAAAAACGTTGGCGAGGTAATCAATAAGTGAAATTGTTTTTTATGTTAAAAGAGTTTTGTGCAAACATTTTTTTGCGCGTCTGATGGTAAGTGGTCACCATAGCCTATAGACGCTTGCGATACAAAAATATCACTCGCGCCGTTGCTTACCCTGACCCCATCCTCTACCCCGTGAAGCCCTGGAACCTTATTTACTGATATAAACACACACACCAAAAAGGAGTGTTATTTTACTGTAGTCTTCTGCACGGTTGAGGTTATTTCCCCAGACGGGCGTTTCAATTCGAGCGATAAAAGCCACTATGCTCTGCCTCTCTTAAATTGTTCAATTTTATTTAAAACTAGCTGTGCCCGCGACTCCGTCCGCGCGGATGTCGGTCTTCGCGTGGATGGTTTATTTGTCCATTTTGAGTAACTCTGACAATGACATCAAATAAATATCTATTGGACCCACATACGGCTAGGCCTATAATACTTAATTAAGGAGATCCCTCTATTGAGCTACTGCTGTTGAGCTTGCGTTCTGTAGTAAGTATTTTTTTCATAGTAATTCCGACCTTTATAAGTAGCATGAAGCAGTAAATTATTGACAGTGACGAAAAGTTTGCAATAATTAAAAAGTGATTGTGACAATGCGACAGAAAGTTAATTGAGAGCTTCAGCATACACAACATTGTTAGTGAGCTCGTCCGGAATATGAACATGAAGATTTCTTGGACTGCTTACACGGGAAAGAGCTACGTAAAGTTGCCCGTGTGAAAAACAACTCGCGGTAAGATCTACGCCAGCAACTCCTAGGGTCTGACCTTGAGCCTTATTTATTGTCATGGCGTAACACAAAGCTACAGGAAACTGTATTCTCTTAAATTGAAATGGAAAATTGTTGGGAATCAATGGTATTCGAGGGATTAAAACACTTTCCCCGGCACCACAACCGGTTAAAATTTCAGCTTCAATTACGTTAGGTTGTAAATTAACCACCTTCAATCGAGTGCCGTTACAAAGCTTCGGAGGACTTAAATTACGAAGAAGAATAATAGGAACGCCGATTTTTAACTTAATTATATGTGAAGGAAGTCCAGAAACATTTAACGAATTTAAAAATTCTATGGGGTAATTAGTGGACTCTTCTTGATCCATCATTCTATTAATAGAGATATACTCTCGACTTTCTCCTTGAATATGTGACAATATTTCATTATTTATTATAGATGCTTGGTCATTCCGAGGAGTAAGAATGGACCTTTTGCATAACCAAGTATTGTGCTGATGCGTAACGCTGCTTAAGTCTCCGTAAACCGCAAATATTAGCTCTTGCAGGGACGAAACAGTACAACACAACTCATCATTTAAAGCTACTTTTCCTTCATCATTTGGATAACTTCCCTCGCCTATTTTTAATAATAAATTTGAAAATTGTTGTGCATGTGGGTCATCTCCGAGTCTCACCCGCATATTTGTTGTTAAATGCATGGATATAATATGTTGCCATAGACTCGACCTTTTAAGGCAAGCTCTGACTTCATCAGCTCGTGTTCCTCGTGGTATCACCGGTAGAATTTGTCTGAAGTCGCCACAAAAAAGAACAGTTATACCACCCATGGGTTGGTCTATGTGCCTGATGTCCCTCAGAGTCCTGTCCACTGCCTCTATGGCTTTTTTGTGAGCCATAGTGCACTCGTCCCAGATGATTAAACTACACTCCCGGATAACCTGCGCTTTGTCACAGTTTCTAGTAATACCGCATACTGGATTTTCCGTGCGGTCAAGGTCTATTGGTATTTTGAACATCGTATGCGCTGTTTTGCCTCCTGGTAACAAAGTCGCTGCTATACCCGAGGAAGCAACTGCAAGTGCAATTTTGTTTTGATTCCTTAAGTGGGCTAATATTAATTTAGTGAGAAACGTCTTCCCAGTTCCACCAGGTGCATCGAGAAATAAAATTTGTCCCAAAGTATTGCTTACACTATGGCAGACACGGTCAAATACCTGTTTTTGTTCCGGTGTCATACTTGGTACTCCGTTTTCTAAAGTTTCCAATAGTTCTGCAGCATTATAATTAAGTTCTGCAGCGTATTCCCTGTTAATTCGTTCGTTAGCTATAGTAGGAGTAGGCAAACCATATTCTGATAGAGTTTTACCTCCGACAGCTATTAATTCATTTTGAATAGCTAACAAACACTGATTTATAGCTAAATCATGGCAATTGTCATTTATTTCAGTATCTTGATCACGTGAGATGTTCCTGAAAAAGTCCTCAGAGAGTTGCTTCTTATATTTTTCCCATAACTGCGCAGCGTCAGACAAAGCACAAAAAGTCAACAAAACAACAAATAGATTTCGCAAACGACTTGGATTATTACTGACGCATGATTCTGCTAAAGCATCGTCCCAATGCTGATCATTTTCGAGTAAGTGTCGAGCTTGGCAAGCTGCTTGGTAAGAAGGATATAAAATATCGTCAACTTTTCGTAAGTCAGTAAATGATGTTGGTCCACGCACTGTATGTAATAATAGGCGCAAATAAAAACATTCAAAATTGTTAGGATGTACACTGTAAACTCTTCCTATTACATGTTCCTTGTAAACTCCAGGTGCGCCATCTACTGGGGAGCCTCGTCGACGACGGTTAAATACTCCACGTTGTTTATCGTATGTGTAATATGCGGGAATCTCATCATAGAGTAAAGTTTTGGCAAAGCTATCAGTGCCACACAATTCAAAAAATGCTATAAGAGTTGTGCGTCTTGGATTTACTAAACGCTCGGCTACATTTTCTGGGTTGAAATATATACTTTGACTTCCCTCTGCGTGAATATCGAGATGCATTACAGGTGGATGTCGCTCGTGTATGGGAAAACTTAAGATTCGCCACACTGCTTCTGACGAACTAATGTACCGTCCCGATTGATGTTTAGCTACCTCATCGTGTTCGTTATTTCTTAGTGCAAATGATGCTTGGTCACTACCTTTGTTAATATATTTACATATATACTTAATAGATTCAATACTATTGCACATTTCAATATTTATATGTGCTCCGAAAGCTCTAGATAATACTGGAGAATATGGCACGACCCACCTGTTATCTAAAGTGATTTGTTGGCCAAGAACTCTTTTTTCAGCTGTAAATCCACCACTACTTGGCGAACGGCGCCGATATAAAGGATATCCGTCATGACCTGTTATAGTTTGGTCCACTAACGATTTTGGATATCGTTTAGTACAGCGACCGTTTTGCATGCAAGGAGAGTGAGAATGTAGTGCGCCACAGGGTCCATGAACCATATGAGTTTTAACGATTTCATATAATACAGGATCTACATTTGGGTCAGGAAATTCGGCACTAATTACATGATCTACATCATGAGGCCGAATTTTGTCTTTCAACCAAATTAAAATATGAGCGTGTGGTAGCCCTCGTTTTTGCCACTCGACACTGTACATATAAGATAAATAATCACCAAAAACTTTTTCTTTAGTTAATAACTTAATCATTAATTTCAGCTTTAAATGAAAAACTCTCGAAATTATATCGTGTCGGTCGTAAGAAGCTTGTCCTTCAAGTAAATTGTTCGTTATATCCTCCCATTTAGGATTAGTAGTAAATGTAATGAATAAGTCTGGTCGACCATATTTCCTTACATAACAAAAAGCATCTTGCGTTCGCTCATGCATGTACCGCGGGCCGCCGGTAAAAAAAGATGGTAAGATAACCAAACGGCCCAAATTATCGGGATTGTCATCCTGTTGCATAGCGTCGCGTAGATGTACATATTCATCAACTCTCAACTGTCTTTGATTTGTACGTATATATACCAGTCGTTCAGTTTCAATTTTAGCATACATATCAACTATGAATTGATTAAACAAACCTCGGAAACGTTGCAAATACAATAGTTGATCACGTCTAATCTGCAAATGATAGCAATAAAATTGAAGAGAAGAAACTTTTTTTCTGTAATTTAAGGTACCTGTAACCGGGTTAGTTTGGTACACTGCAAAATTATAGCCATCCTCTCCTCGACAGTAAATTAAGGGGTACTGCAAACTATCATATGCTCTGTGAGTTTCATAAATACGCTGCAGACGGTTGTCTCTAGTACGAATCACGATATCTCGTCTATCACATTCTTGGTCGACTAATACTACTGCGACTTCATTAGTCGTAGGTGCATTGTAGCGCCTGGGGTGTTCTTGACTTGGACGTCTATCGGCATTGATTACAACATTATAATTGTCACATTGCCCTTGAGGAATAGATTCCAATGCTGACTTAAAACTATGCACATACGTATTGACCTGATGTAACATATGCTGAAGTGCCAAAATTAATTCTGCATTAAGATGTGGTAAATTTGTATTTCGTACAGCTAACTGTTCGTTATAATCAGATATAAGTTCTCCTAAGAGCAATGATTTCAAAGGCTCCGGTGGATCTTCAAATAGCGGTAAATTCACTTTTCCACCAGAACAACAAAATCCAGCGGACTCATGTCTCCATTTCAAGGAATTACAATGAGAACAAACTATATTCATCTCACCTATCTCTGCAAAAGATTCATAATTCATTCTAACGTAATAAGCAAATCCACTTTTGCTTCTATTTATCCATGGCAACAAATCTAAAGATTCTGCTTCGTCATGATCTGATGAACATAAAACTCTATCAATATTATGACGAAATCTATCTCCACTGAGTCGAACTTCACATTGCTCATTTGTTTCTAATGACCGAATATCATTTATTCTTTGTCTTTCGTTTGACAAATTATCTATATTATTTTGAACTCTTAAATCGTAGTTTTCGCGAGCTGCCTCTAAACGACGCAAACGGTTTTCGTCACTTTCAAGAGATCGACTCAAAGCGTGACGTTCACGGTCAGCCGTCAAACGACCTTGATACTGGGTGTAAGTCTCAGACTCCCGTGACAGCGCGTGACGTTCGCGGTCAGCCGTCAAACGATCTTGATACTGGGTGTAAGTCTCAGACTCCCGTGACAGCGCGTGACGTTCACGGTCAGCCGTTAAACGATCTTGATATTGCGGGTACGTCTCAGACTCCCGAGACAATACGTGACGTTCACGGTCGGTAGTGAGGCGTATATCCCTTTCAGTAAATGTTTCAGAGGAGCGAGATAGTGAGTGACGTTGACGATCAGCACTTAATCTCAATTCGCGATCGGCACTGCTTTCACGTGCTCTTGCTTCAGCCGCTATGTCTCGCATGCGGTTTAACCGGGATTCTCGCTCTTCGGTTGATTCTTGTGATCTAGCTAGTCTCATTCGCTTAGCATGTTTCGATGTTTTAGTAAGAGAAGATCGCTTTCTGGCAGGCATCGTGTTACAATAAAACTGTATTAAAAATAAACAGAAATACAATGAAATGAGATGAGAGAGAGAAATATGAGTTAAATAACTAACCTACTTTACCTTATAACCTAATTACTATACCTATGTTTCCAAAGATAAACAAAAAGAAAATAAAATACCAACCTAAATAAACCAATTCACGATGAAGACTTAAACTACGTACGTACTATATTTACAAATAACTGATCGGAACAGTCTTAGAATTGACATCAAATCCAGTAATCAAAAAGCACGGTTTAAAATTACACGCGTACAATATTAATTCCACACTAAACACGTCCGCACGCATCAAAATTCAGAATTTATATGCATCGCGCGGCGCGGAACGCCGTCCTTATATAGGAGTCGGGGAGGCGGGACGTCGTGCAGCCCGCTTGTGTCGCAAACGGTTCAAGCCAAATCCGACTTTCGGCGCTACAGGCTACGGCGCTGAATCCACTGTGTGTTCGCGGTTCTACAGAATAACGTCAATGAATAAAACTGAAAAATTAAGATTTTTTTTTTTTCTACGTATTTTTCCAGGATAAAAAGTATCCTATTTTATGCCCAGGATAATAAGGTATAATTATACCAAGTTTCATCGAAATCGAACCGTTAGTTTTTACGTGATGCCTGAACATACAGACAGACAGACAGACAGACAAAAATTTTACTGATTGCATTTTTGGGATCACTAACGATCCCTTATCACCCTTTGCTAGTAATTTTTTAAATATATTTAATGTACAGAATTGACTTCTCTACAGATTTATTATAAGTATAGATATAGATGATATTGAAGGAGAAGTGTTTAAAATAATAAAAAAAAACATTATGCAGGTAATGAAAAGCAATGACGTCACATCACGAAGTATAGTCAAAGGACCTTTCAGAAGGACGTCACCGTATCTCACTCACCCTGTGTTCAATATGCACCATTCTGAAACCAGAATCGTACGCTATATGAAACGGCTGGAAAACAAGGATATATCTTTGGTTCACTCAATGATTCCATTGGTAAGGAAGCCTTCTTTTCTTTATCATATAGGATTTATACTCATATTATATTAAAGCTCTATTAATGAATTATTATTATTCCATTTCCAGGGATCTTGCACAATGAAATTGAATTCTACAACTGAAATGATGCCATGTTCTTTCAAACATTTTACTGACATCCATCCATTTGCGCCTCTTGAACAATGTCAAGGATACCATTCGCTCTTTGAAGAGCTTGCAAGTGATTTGTGTGCTATTACTGGGTATGATCGTGTTTCATTTCAACCCAACAGGTATATAATTTTCAGTATTCTGAAAATCAACTTTATAAAATATTATTAGAGTTTTCATTGCAAAGATGTTGTTTTTTACAGTGGTGCTCAGGGCGAATATGCTGGATTAAGAACAATTAAACGTTATCATGAGTTCCGTGGTGATACTGGACGTAACATTTGCCTCATTCCTGTTAGTGCACACGGGACAAACCCAGCGTCTGCCCATATGGCTGGGATGCGTGTCTGTGCGATACGCGTCACACCTTCTGGTGATATTGACATGGAACATCTAAAAGATATGGTGAGATCCTTAGTTCTTTTCGATATTATTAAACTCTGTGCACCCAGAAATCAGAAATCCATGTTTCAATACAACATTTTAAAATTTCCAGGTAGAGGAGCATAGTGCAAAGTTATCATGTTTGATGCTTACGTACCCCAGCACATTTGGAGTGTTTGAAGAGCGAGCAGCCGACATATGTGCTTTAGTACATGCACACGGCGGCCAAGTTTATTTAGATGGTGCCAACATGAATGCGCAGGTTTGAAGTAGAAATCATTTCATTTATCAGTTACTGTTTACTGACATTATATTTTCAATATTTTTTTGCCTTTTTCAGGTAGGACTATGTCGTCCTGGTGATTATGGCAGTGACGTGTCACACTTAAATCTGCACAAGACCTTTTGCATACCTCACGGCGGCGGTGGTCCTGGTATGGGCCCTATTGGAGTGTAAGTATTCAAATCAAACTATGCTCATTAGCTAAAATTAAATTATCGTCATTATTTATATCTCTAATAAGCTATTCATATGATAACATTCTACTATCCTTTATAGAAAATAAACTACCATGAAGATTTTTCTCAAAATATTAATATATAGTGTCGGTTATAATTATAGGTAACTAAAAAGTCAATGTTTTATTTTTATTTAGGAAAGCGCATTTGGCACCTTTTCTCCCATCACATCCAGTGGTGGATCCATTAGCTGACTTGGGAGATGCCGCACACAGTTTTGGCTCAGTCAGTGCTGCCCCGTTTGGATCTTCTGCCATTTTGCCGATATCCTGGGCATATATAAAGGTATAAAAATTAAAAACTCTATTGGGCATCTATGTTACAATAGGTTTCCTTATGTATTGGTAAAAAAGAAATTTTCGTTATATGTTTCCTACAATCTTAGAACTTACATACCATTAGGATAATAGCAGTGAAAACGGTTATTAGTTTATTTGTTTACAATCCATCGCTTTACTTCACATAAATAATAACATGAATATTTTAATTATTTATTTTCTAGAATTAATTTTCTTTAGATTTAAACATCAAGCAGTTACCTGCTTAAAAAAAATATAACAATAACATGTATCGTTTATAAAAAGGCGATACTAAGGCTAAGAGAATACTGAATTAAGATTTAAAAAAATTAAGGCGTTAAAACTTTTATACAGATGATGGGACCAAAAGGTCTTAAACGAGCTACGCAAGTGGCAATACTCAACGCCAACTACATGTCGAGACGGTTGGAGGGCCACTACAAAACGCTATACAAAGGTGAAAGAGGACTCGTCGCACATGAATTCATTATAGACGTACGGGATCTGAAGAAAACCGCAAATATAGAACCTGGAGATATTGCTAAACGACTGATGGACTTCGGTAAATATAAAAACTGGGAATAATCTAAGCTAAAATTTACTAAAAGCGTGAAACGCTTTAAGTTAAGTAACGTAAGCTAAAAAAACTAAGTAGTAGCTAACCCATCTTAACAAATTTTGTAAATTAGCATTGTGTTAAATAATCGATAAATTGTAACTTTGTTGATACAAAAATTTAAAAACTCTCACATAACGTTCTTTTTCAGGCTTTCATGCACCTACAATGTCTTGGCCTGTTGCTGGTACATTAATGATTGAACCAACAGAATCAGAAGATCTACAGGAACTAGACAGATTCTGTGAAGCTCTAATTACTATCAGAAAGGAAATTAAAGATATTGAAGATGGGCTTATTGACAAGCGCCTAAACCCCCTAAAGGTAAAATACTGTTTTAAGACAGATTGAAAATATATTATTTTTGACAGATTTTCAATAACTTTTAAACAATAGATGGCGCCACACACTCAGGCTGAGGTGATTTCAGAAGATTGGAATCGTCCTTACAGTCGCGAACAGGCAGCATTTCCAGCTGTAAGTAGTTTAATTGTTTGTGTTTTTGTATACTTCAAATTCATATTTACACGATCTTAACAAAATAATTGTAATTTTCAGCCATTTGTAAAGGGTGAAACGAAGATTTGGCCTACGGTAGGGCGAATTGATGACATGTATGGTGATAAACATCTTGTATGCACATGTCCTCCTGTTTTAGATGATTTTTGATGGGTGATTAAGTTAATAAAACAATACCTCAGCTGTCGCATAATGTATGTATATTTTATCAATATTGTCATATAATAAATATTGTTTTCTAACAACCGAACCTTTTAATTATTTAAAGATAAAACTTTATATCCTATAGCGACGTAAACAATTTTTCATTATCTGTTCGTCAGTTACCTGAATCGTCTTCACACAAGTACTCTATCTACCCTTATTAATAAATATTTCATATTGCGAATGATCACTATTAACTATTAACAGTTTTAATTGGGTTCAAGGCAACGTGTTGTTTTGTATCTAGCTCGAAGTTTAATTTAGAATGGAATATGAAAAGCTCCAAATGCCCTAATAAAAATGAAATAAGTATATTGTTTTAAACTTTCATGGTCACTAGCATTATAGATATTAACGGGATTGTTACCATGTACCTTGTTTTTTATGAGTCTCCGATATTTCGGCACTGTTGCAAGCGCCATGATCACGGAGTAACTGAAGTAATTGCGGGTAGATGTTATTGGCAGACATATCGGTCTACCCTCTGACGTCGTCTTTTACTGATCGTCGATCTGATACTGTGAGTATTGTGTGCCGGGAACAAATGCGAGTGAATAGTGAGAATGTGACCAATGGTAGTGGTAGTATCGAACGCAGTAAAAGACGACGTCAGAGGGTAGACCGATATGTCTGCCAATAACATCTACCCGCAATTACTTCAGTTACTCCGTGATCATGGCGCTTGCAACAGTGCCGAAATATCGGAGACTCATAAAAAACAAGGTACATGGTAACAATCCCGTTAATATCTATAATGAAATAAGTAGTTTAAGCAGTAGTTTCTTTTGCATTCTTTGTTCTGGAAGTCTTTCACATTCCAAACGATGTAATTTCAAAACATCTACAGCTTATTTTTGCAGTCAATTTAAATTACAGACTTAACAAAATATTACGATTTCAGTAATTATTTATTACACATAATAATACTAAGATTCGTAAAAACTTAGAATTAGAAAATAAGTAACTGTTATAAATAATGTTACTTCATAATTAAAACATTATTTGTTGGTATCAAAATGAATATTAGACGAAAAAATGCTAGCAATTTCTAATTTGCAAATAATCGTAAAAATCATTTTGGAGAAGAGTTAATTGCATCTTTTGGGTACATACCTAACCTAACACCGAGTTCTTTCGGCAGCCGCATGACTGGTCTAGTAGGAAATGGGTGGTAGGAGCCTGATGAGGGACTACGAGGATAAGATAACGAAGAAAGGGTATCTGTTTCTATGAGAGAAGTAATCGCACTACAAGTATCGTCAGATTCTACTATTGTCTTATCACTCTTTTCTGTGGATAATTCTCTTGGAAATGTGAGAGTCTCCTTAGGGAATATTTTTGGAGATATTGGAGTAGATACTTGATCGAGAGATGTTATTTGACATAAAGTATCACTAGAATTACTTTTTATACCTGTAGGTGAGTCATCCTCAGCAGAAGGTTCATAAGTGAAGCTAATAGATGACGTTACTACATGAGCGAAATCACTAACTTGGCTGTTTTCAGTCTTTGAATTATATTCACAAGCCTTTGGCCCTTGATCGACAGTTTTACTACAAATATCACTTGCTTTAGATAATACAAAATCATTATATTTACTTGAAAATGGATAACTGTACTCATCTGAGGTGTATCGTTTTTCATAGGTAGAAGTATCTTTTTGTTCTATCGATGGTAAAGTAACTGAAGTTCTAGTTTCTGAAAAAGAATGTCCTGTCCATTGAGTTGTAGTCGTAGGTCTCATTACATCACTCTTGGAAATTGTATCTAAATCTGGAATATGATTAATTTTTTTCTTATACGAAAAATCATAGCTGTTGTCTTTATTTAAAACACTTTTGTATTCACATTTTGCTAGAAATCCTTTGTTTTCCCAACCATATAAATCTGTTTTATTCACTAAACATTCATTACTAGGAGACTTTGAACCTCTTAAAGAGAATTCGTCTCTTGAAACTGTATTGCGTAATTCTAAAGAGAAAGGGTCGTCAATTGAAATAGGCCTTACTCTAACAAATTCACTTTTATCAACGGTGTTTTTATCACTGTTTCTTTTTCGGTAACCAATTAAAGAATCCGAAGTTGATTCTTTAAGTATAGGCGACTCAATTACTGGGGCCTCTACAGAATATTCCGGAATGTCAGTATAAGTTTTACTACTAGATTTGTCAATAGAATCCTCCGATTTTAATATTGCAGTTTGATTTGTGTCAGCGATGTGTTGTTTTGTTAGAATTCTACTTAATATTTTAGAGTTTTCTTGAATAATTTGTAACGCTCTTTCACTGTTTTTACGTCCAGATTGTAGAATGTAATCTTTCGGTGACATATTTTCAGTTTCCGTTGTTGATTTCATCCGTTTTTCTATTCTTTGTAACAAAGATTCATCATTTTTTGTAATTTCAGCTTCTATTTGTTTAAGTTCCTGATCTGCCTCAGCTTTTTTATCAATATCTGGACTCAATGATTTTTTACTTGTAAAACTATGACTCTGTGGTAATGATGATGCTCGTTCTGTTTCGCTGACTATTTTATCATTATAACTATTATGAAGTGTTAATGAATCAGGTTTTTTAGGCAGCCTGGAATGTCTTTTTATAGCTCGTCTATTAGGAATCTCAGAATTATTAGGATCTGTTACTCGAGCACCAAAAAATTCGGGGCTATGTTCAAAATATTTATCTATTTTTAATGGTATTGGTGGTTCATCTTCACTTACGATTATACTTTCAGCCCCTGGACTTCTAGCTGGACTTTCAATATCGGATACATTTTTCTCGGACAAATCTATATCAGGTACAAAATTAGGGTACATAGTAAAACTGTCAATTATATCGGGCGGTCTTTCCGAATTTACAGACCGAGAAAAAGCCTTGAAATTTGAGTCAAAATCATAATTAAAAGGAGAAGTACCACCTAAATTACATTTATTATCTGATGATAAATCTAAGGGGCTTAAGTCAGTAAAATTTTTTGGAGATCTGGGAAAGTGTTTAGGCCCTGTAATTTCCTTATCCTCGCATTTATTAGTACTCAATCTTTGCAAAATATCTTTTTTATCTGAACATATGTGAGGTGAAAATTGAGATAAGCTTTTAAGGGGGCTTATATGTGTGTAATGATCAGAAATTGGACTCACTGGTAAGCCCTCCTTAAATTTAGTTTCAAAACCATCAATATAAGTGCGTAACGGTTCACCTGCGGCTGAATGGAGATAATCCGTAATACTTTTTGCACCATCGCTATCAGAAGCATTGCTTGGTTCTGGAGATTGATTAATCTTTGATTCCTTTATACGTGGAGAGCCTATAAGTTTCGAGTTTTTGACTGGTGGTGGATGAGAAGTGTTGTCTTTAGGTATATGATGCCGTTTCTCTTTATCATCGTCAGGCATATCTTCAGAATCACTTGCTTTTTCATTTTCATCACACAAACTTGTATCTGTACTTGATGCTGTATGCGATGAATATGATGAAGATTCACTTGAACTTCGCGATCGGAGTGAAGCAATCATTTGACTAGCTTCAAGCTCTGAAACAATAACACCATCACCTGCTTCATCTAAATCTATAGAAGTTTTCCTTATTTTGTCTGCTGTTTTTTCTTTATCTTTTTTAATATCCTTCCATTTTACAGAATTTCTCCTATTGACTGATTTTCGACTTTTTTCTTCATTCCAACTGATAGTGTCGTTGGCTAATCCGCTTGTGCATTTTTCTGTGGTTTCTCGTGGTGTTGACGTTTGTCTAGATGGTGGAACTGCCCCAGGAGGTGGTCCAAGCCGTCTGCCTCTTGAACTTACTATAGCACTTTTTCCCAAAAGAAGGTTGTTAACTGTGAGTGATGTTGGCGACGTAGGAACACCCACTGAAATAATGATAATAAAAATGTGATATTTTTTACGATTTGGCCAATTGAACCAATTAGGTAAACAGATTTAGGAACATCCATCTCAAATTTTCAATAATTGCTAAAGTAATCAGAGATATAGAGTGAGGCTTACCTGTTTTAAAATTTTAAATTATTTATCATTTCCGTATACAATCGAGAAGTAAAGAAAGACATTTATATAAAATATCAAATATTTTACCTGCAGCATGGCGGGCACAAGCAGCTGCTAATATAACATGGGCTTGTCTTTGCCTCTCTCGAAGTCGAGCGTACTGGCGTTTAAGGGCCCCTATATCTAATGATAGTCTATCTCCCGCGCCAAGACATTCTTCTTTTCGCGGCATTACCTGTGTTGAAAATAAAATGGTGAATCTATTGATACTGGACTGGACTGGGCTTTCTTGAATTATAATTTTGAATACTTACTGTTGCTAATGCGAGTTTATTGCCATCATCACTAGAGTCACCTTCATCTTCAGAGTAGAATAAGCGTAAGCCTCGTTTTGTCATAGACTGCATCTAAAAGGAGCGATTTATTACATTTAAAATAGCTTTTCAGTACACGTTTTATTATTTTTAAATGTGCACCAACGATAAGTGATCGCAAGAGTGATACTTGCTTCTTTTTATTTCTAGAGGTGTGTTTGCTCATACATTACACCTACCTAACTCAAGGGAGCTTTAGTGTTCGAAGGTGGTATTGGAGGATATTTAATTTTATTAATAAACAATCGCTTATAGAAAATCGGGCGCTACAATTCGATTAGAAAATTCTCTATGATCTACTACCCCTTTTTCTAAAGCAAGTCCATTTGCGACCCAAACGAACTCTGGAGCAAAAAGTCTATACCGCCAATGGAGCACTTCAAAGTTCGCGGACTTAAAAACCGGCGGACTTGCTCGCTGGCTTCTTGTACATGCTTTTAATTCTAAGTCCGCGATTCGAAAAACCGCCAGAACAGTTGAGTCAGCGACAGCTACAAAAATGGATTTACGTTCGTTTCGTCGCGAGTTTGTGATGGGGTTTATAGAATGTTTTAAGGAACATGATGGTCTGTGAAAGTACACCAGTAGAGAATATATAAAATAAACTGCTAAAAACGTCTGCTTACAATAAAGTTTGAGAGATATATCAAAAACTGTATTTTGTTTTTCTGTTAGAGGGGACACTAAACCCAGCAGCTCCATTAAAACTTTTTCGGACATTCTCAAATAATTCCGGTAGTCATTGGTTGACTTATAAGCTCTGACTTAAATTTAAATGACACAAGCGTTGTCGTTCTTAATGCCAATTTTTTACTTTCATTTTATGGCGTCGTAGATTCGCTTGAACGGCGATTACTTACAGCGGAATGCAGTGGAGGTTGTGATGGAGCGGTTGGTGGTGCTGGCGGTGTGACTCGGTATCGATGCAGCGACCGGAGTCGTGGGAGCTCCGGCGCCGAGCCGAACGCTACCACGCGGGTCACCAGCGAGTCCCCGGCCTCCCAGATTGCGCCTGCGCCACCACCCATACAGCTGTAGAACTCGTCCGCTGAACGCGCCGAAAGTATACGACTACGGATAAGACATAAAATTTCAAGTAAATAATTGCCTTGTAGATTTAGTATTAATAATATTCAGTAGAAATAATCTATTTGTCGGGATTTCGTTTCGTTTCGATATTGCAAACTTTTCGGCGATAGCCCTGTTCGTATATTTTTCGATCAGTGCAGTGCTGTGATCGTCTTCCCCTTTCATAATTTTGGATTGGACTATAAATATTTAATGACTTGGGCAGTTGTAACTAACGATGCCTAAAGCGCATGCTACCCTTCTTTATTTTAAATTACTTTAAAGTGCATCAATTTATCTTTTAAGATATAATATTAAAAAATAGACAATTCCCTACCGGGATATTTTTAATATTCGGAAAGGCCTTAAGACATTTCTCAAGTGAATTGAACTAATCATAGATATACTCACTCCTGTAATAAATCCCATATCGCAAGTGCAGTAAGCAACAAAACTTCATTGCCATCAAGGAGCACTAGATCCCAAACTCTCAGTAACGATTCCCGTGGTAACCACGTCGCGTACAGTGTTAGAAACCACTGCATTGTGAACACATCTGGTAAAGGAGGTTCGACACCACCGCCTAAAAAGATAAAAAAGATCCATCCTAGTGCTTGACTAGTTATATTCAGCAAAGAGGTCCAGCAAGAAGTATTGGAAATAATAAATAAATATATTTTCATCCCACCACCTCGGAAAGTGTAATTTTGCGCTTCGAAATCTGGCTGGAAAATTCTATTTTATTCGCTTGAGCGGCAAAGTAGATTTGAATTTAGAACATCACATATAATGAGTACTCAATATAATTGTAAATTCAAAACGTCATTAAACCTATTTAATGTAACCTCTATGGTGCCAAATTTATGATTAGAACTTTTTAAATTGTGAAAAAATTTAAATTTGGAACCTTCTTGGTTTCTTTGTTTTATTTGCGTGCTTCGCGCCATTCTAGTTTTTCACGTTTTATTGCTTAAATATTTTGTCATTATAAATTGTTTTCTTTTTCATTTTGTCATTTCCTCGCTGAGGTGGGATGAAAAGTTACGTATTGCACTCGAGTGGAAAGATTTTTCACCTTGTGCTCGTTTGTTTCCCTCGCTGACGCTCAGGATTCTAATTTAGAATCACTCGCTGCGCTCGTGATTCAACTTTAGAATCCTTCGCTTGCTCGGTCATCCAAATCGAGCACGCGGTTAAAAAGGAACTTTCCACTCTTGTATAATAAATAACTATTATCACTGCCGTGGTAGAATCAGAACAGACCTCTTTCTATTATGGGATTTGTGAGGTTGGCGGAATATCCATCCAAGGTGCGATGGCGACAAAATAATCTATGTATTGGATCCAAACTTGTTGCTTGAGACCATAATGCCAAGTTTCCAATTTAACAACTATAACAACGGTTTTCAAAACCATCTTGAATGTTCTGTCTTTGCGTGGAAGAATTTGAAGTGAGCACATCACCTTGGAACTTTTTAATATACAATCTGAATTAGGGACTACACTAAATATTAATGTGACTTCTTCCCAACATATTTGATACTTCAGGTATAGTAAAAATTACCATCTGATATTCGCTGTAAGTGATCCATATGATGCGCTAATCTTGGAAGTCTCAATCGAAGCAAATCTCTGAATGCGGCCATATCAGCTGACAGCCCACGCAGATCATCAGCAAAGTAACCTTCAGGTAATACTGCTTCCACCAGATAAATCATCACCTGTAAGATAATATTTTTTTTTGGTTTAACAATTGACTTATTAATAAAATTATAGCTACTCAACAGATTTTTTTATTGTTGATAAAATATGAATAAGTAACCTAGCCCTCGAACGTAGCCGAACATTTATTTTGTGTAACTGCTGAAAAAAAAATATTTTTATGCAATTATAATGAACTTTGTAGTTTTTTTATTAATTACAAAAACTTTACCTTTAACGAGTCCGATTCGGATTTTTCCATAACTTCCAGTATTATTGCCGCTAGCATGTTGAACCCTTGGCAGTAACCAACATCTTTGTTCCATCTAAAACCGAAATCTATCAATATTAACTACAATTAATTACTTATTTAATTTTGAATAGGTAAGTACTTTATTCAAAGCATATAAATATATATGATAGCGATATCATAGATAAATAATTAAGTTTCTTCAGTTCTATGTTCATATTTGATATTCCACAAAAATAGAGACAGAATATTGCGTAATGGTGAGGTGATGCTATTGATTTTGATTTCGACAAAAGTAACTGCAATGTCAAAATTACAATTACAAAAGTCTAAATAGTAAAACATTATGGTTAGCTACCGTGCATACGCCAAAAGTACTCTGCGAAGCATTGCTTGATTCTCCCGCCCCTCCGTCCCACAGAATAAAGAACAACCGGTGCGATGTAGGTCCTGTCAATTAAAATAAACTAAATTTTGAACTACACTTTAATTGGTTCATGTCTTTACATAAAATTGACTTTAATAAGTTACACAGCAAATATAGCGAGATTTATACAAGGAAATTATGAACAGCGTTTTAAATATTACTCGATAGTTGGCGAGCGTGCCAAGGCTGCTAAAATATGATAATTTTATATTACGATCACCCCTTCAAATTTAGACATTTCCTCCTCATAAAATTCTTAATATGTTATACCTAGTTAGATATTTTTTGGGAACCTTTATTATTAATAAGCTAAAGTAACGAGATTGAAGGTCTCAAAAATGTTTTATTTTTGGAAAAGTTTCATATTTACACGATATCATCCATGTTTCAATAGTTGATCTTAATCTCGGGCTCACTTTTCTACGATCCTCGAACTAGTGACGTGTCTTAAAATGATCGATATTTTTATTAATCGTTAAAAATAACTGTTTTTATAAAAAGTTAAAACTTCATGCAAATATTTTAAGAAAATAAAGGAAGACTCCTTATATGATGTACTTCAACGCCTTACAAGCTTTATTTGTATTTTTGTAACACCCAGTACTTTCTTACTCTTACTCCTCTCTTTAAAAATTCTGTTGCGTTTCATAATTTTTGTTTTACTTATTATACACTTTTTGTCCTGTTGTAAGTACATTTTTATTTATTTCACTAGAACAGGGTTGCCGGGATGAGTCTTATTTATTTTTTATCCTGTGAGATATAAATCGATACAGAATTCTATTATGAATGTTAATATACATAAATTAAATTTTCACAGAAGGCCAAAGAGTGACATGTCTGTGACAAGTGTTTCAGGCCCGATCTGTTTAATCCTATTACTGCTTTTATTGCGAAAACTCTTCGACGGACAATTAAAAATTTTGCTAGAAAAAAAACTACTCGTTCCAGGCATAGAGAGGATTCTAACCGGCACCTTCCGCTAACCAGACGGATGCTCTAACCAATTATGTTAGAAGGTAAGATGGAAGGTGCAGATTCGAATCTTGTCTGATGCATGGACCTAAGTAGTGGATTTTGCTTTATAGTACATTTATAAATCTAATCCTTCTTCCATACCTGCGCGAATAAACATACAAACATACAGTAGCTTCCGGTGCCTTTGGTACAAAAATGCGCTAAAATTAGGGTTTTAAATTTGAATTACTTCTATCGTAATGAATAAGCGGGTTGCGTGTCTAATAGATGATAGAGCTTGTGGAAAACCATAAATTTGTATGTGCAGCTGAAGGAGCACACTTAACTTGTTTCTTAGGTTTTCACGCACATCACTCATTAAATAAAACTTGTTTTAACAGGTTAATGCATGGACTTTATTTATTTTTTGACGTTTCGCAGCCTTTTCAGGTCTGCATCATCAGAATAATATTTTTTTATTTACTTTGTTGACTCAATAAAAGTATTTCGAAGGTAGCTCGACAAAGTAAATAAAAAAATATTATTCTGACGATGCAGACCTGAAAAGGCTGCGAAACGTCAATAAATATATAATAAAGTTCGTGCATTAACCCTTTAAAACTAGTTTTATTTAATGAGCGCACTTAATTCAAAGTTGGAACGCTACTTTTAGCGCATTTTAGTACCAAATCCACCCGAAGCTACTTTTCGCAGGTGTGGGACAAGTATCAGTTACATACTTAAAAATAACAATAGAATAAAACTGTTTACTAACCTTCAATATTTGCGCGCCAAGCTCGGTGTCATCGGGTTGTGCGGTGCCGCGGAAGCAGGCGCGCTCCGCCACCGACCACTCTATATTTCGCGCTGTGAGATGCCTTTCTGCTAGTGTTAACCATAGCTGAAATAAATAGTTTTCTTTAATACATTTACACCTTTTTCTATCCAGTAGTTAGGATAATATGTAAATAAAACATAAGTTTTCTCTTTAGAAACGCAGAACACAGACAACCTGGTTTTCTGTGTCGAACGGCCGCGAAAATTGCTTCTCGAACATAATCGCAGATTCAATTCGCTGAAAAAGCGCTATTGAGGTCCTTTTTGTTATACTACTACAACGATATTATTAACTTTCCTAGAAAAAGATGACCTAGCTGGAAAGAAATATTATTTATGAATATAATTAACTAGGTAGCTATGTAAGTATTGTAATAGGTACCTAACCTATGATTTCTATAGCTATGAAAATCATGAAAAGGAGAACAACCATTTTGGTACTGATCTTGTACAAACATTATTTTTTGATAATATGTAAAGCGGTAAAAAGTAAGTAATATAAGCTAAAAAGTATTTTTTAGCTAGTGGTGAAACTCAAAAATAGTATTAAACCTTTAATGTATAAAGGAACGTAGCATTTAGAGTAGAAAGGAACGTAGTTTGCTATTATATTCGAAATAATTGATTCAACTAATCATGTGTTGAATGTTTTTTGAAGTACTGTTTCAATTAATCAAATATCTAATGTTTTTAACGTTAATAAAATGTAATAAAATAATCACGTATAAATTGGAGTTTTTGAACTCCAAATCTCAGACAAAATATTATATTATTAATAAAATATAGAATTGATTACCTTTTTTCGATTTTTTAAATAGTCACGTAACTAACGTCACATGACTAAAAGAGCCTTACACAAAGGGTCGTGTAAATTACATCTTCTAAGTTAAAGAAAGTGATCATAAAAGCTACTGGGTGAAACTTATTTTTTTTGTGACTAAATGATTACTATCTCCTATCGAACACAACATAACCTAAATCAAGTATCGGAATAATTACACCTCCCAAGTTAACAAAAACGCCCATAACATACAAACAACTGCGCCAAACTGAATTAAATATTTAATGACTGAACAGCAACTATTCTGCATCGGACAAAAAAAATACGTCCAATCTCGGCGTAATTGGTATATATTCATAAAAAAATATCCCGAATTGAGAATTTGGGAACCTCCTCATTTCTGAAGACGGTTAAAAAGTATTTTGCATTTTGCAAATACAAAATATGTCCTTAAAAGTATATAAAATAAAATGGAAAATGCTTTTCTAAAAATTTTTTTAAATACAAAATGAAAATATGTATTTTCTATTTTGTATATTGCATTTCAAATACTGTTAATTTTAAAATGTCATGTCTCTGACTGAACTGATAAACAATTAATAGGCGAGAGCCACGCCGCCGCGCCGTAAATATCTAAATTTAGACCGTTCTCAGCAATCTCTTTACGCATTCAACTGACGTCAACTGAACTTAAGTAAGGGAGAAAGGTAATATCGAGTTCAGAATATGCTATTTTAACTTGTCAAACCTATTTATAGAGGATCGTTTAATAATTTCGGGTGGGTGTTGGCTTTATGTTTTCTTGCATTTGTATTTATTATTACACAAATAAGTAAATATTTCTATAGAACCGTTGGCTTTTTGATTAAGATATGATAGAAAAGTTAAATCATCATTAATGCTCTTCTATTCATTATTCAAATCGTTAAAGGAATCAGGGTTGGGTCACTGTGCAAATAGGCCTTGCTGAGTTTATTGCCGGATTTTATTGCTTTAACCAGTACAAGGTCTCCCGCCGTAAGTCTTGTGAATCGATGCATTGCGTTGAACGTCCAGACGAGCTTATAGGAGCGTAGATCTCTTTAAGATATTATTTTGAGTTTTAAGGATATGTTGACAAAAGTCGAGTTGTAGACACTTCAAATAACAATAACCGAACCTTTAACCTACGACACCTTTAAGACTACTTAACCTTTATGATACCTTTGTCCTACATCTTGCAACTTAGACCAGTGAATCGAAACTATCGTGGCTTTTATATAAAAGCATAAATTTTAATTTGTTTTGCCACAGACCGAACAATAATTTTATCCGTGCGGTGACGGAGAAAGAATACAACTCACCGCCCCTTCTCTTCCCGTGGGTGTCGTAAGAGGCGACTAAGGGATATCGGAGCTTCCATCCGCTCTGCTGGTGGTAGGGTGCCTAACACCCGCCTGGTTTGTTACCACCGTGCGCATGGTGAAAAACCCGTGAGGTGCTTCTCGCGCGTTTCGGGGTCAGCCAGCGTACAACCAGGGCTCGAGTGGAGATTGTCGCGACGGATTCGGTCCAGGGCGAGGCATCCGTCGAACCGATGCCGGGAGGACTGCATCGACCCGCCGGCCAGGGAGACCCGTAGAAACGGCTGTCCCGCTGGCCGCCCGTGGCACAGTACAGGGGCCCGAGCGGTCCTAACCAGTTCGCGAGGCTGCCCCATCATATCACGCATAATCTCGGGGTGGACCGTCGTGCCGGTTGGTGACCGGGGCGTGGGGTCCCGGCGGCCACTTCCGGGGGGGTGCGGGGGCCCTTCCGTCCGGCGGGTCGGCGTATATCCTCTGCAGGCAAACATTTGGGGAAACATGCTAGACCAGGGTCGATAATTTTTGAGACCAAAAAAAATTATAGTAGGATGAAACCCATTGGAAAAGGTAGAGAATATAACAAAAATGAAAGGAAAAATAAATTACGGGCGATCTGAGGTCGGGAAGGGGGAGGGGGTGAGTTTTTAAGGGTAAAAACCGGTTAATCTCGATTTCCGGTAAAACTGCAAGTCCTATGAAAAAAAGATAAATGGCAAAGTTGTAGGTAATAAAAAGATGTACAACTTTTGTATCGACACTTTTTTCATATAACCTCAAAATCTATGTGAAAAATTCGAATAACCGAGTTTTTATTTTTTTATTTTTATTTTTTGCAAAAAAAAAATTCTTTCACGAAACTTAGTGAAAACTTACCTTTGTATGTCCCAAACATACAGTAATTTTTTTGATTTAATATATTTATTTTTTCACCTTATTTTGACTTAATATCGAAAAAGCACCCTAATTTTCAATCGAAAATTCTCACGTCAAAATATCTGCTTTTTAAAAAAAGTTGATATGTTTTTCGTTTGTTGAAATTTCTACTTTATGATGGTATAAAAAAAATATACACTACTATGGTAAATGTTCTCAGAAACTGCAAATTAATAACGAAAAAAACCCCAATCCGAAAAATTTATTTGAATCATTATGTATAATTTTGAACTATTTATTAAAATTTACACTTTAATCACTCGAAAACGTAAGATTTTATGTTATTTGATAAACAGAAAAATTACAAATCCATAAAACATGCAAAAATAGTTGTTGTAAGTAGGTATTAAAAATAGGATTTTCGGATTCGAGTTATTATCATTATTAATTTGCAGTTTCTGAGAACATTTACCATAGTAGTGTATATTGTTTTTTATACCATCAAAGAGTAGAGATTTCAACAAACAAAAAACACACCACCTTTTTTAAAAAAGCAGATATTTTGACGTGAGAATTTTCGATTGAAAATAAGGGTGCTTTTTCTATATTAAGTCAAAATAAGGTGAAAAAACTAATATTTTAAATAAAAAAAAATGCTGTATGTTTGGGACATACAAAGGTAAGTGTTCACTAAATTTCGTTAAAAAAATATTTTTTTTGCATAAAATAAAAATACAAATCCAAAAACTCGGTTATTCGAATTTTTCACATAAATTTTGAGGTTATGTGAAAAAAGTGTCGATACAAAAGTTGTAGATCTTTTTATTACCTACAACTTTGCCATTTGACTTTTTTTCATAGGACTTTCAGTTTTCCCGGAAATCGAGATTAACCGGTTTTTACCCTTAAACACTCACACCCTCCCCCTTCCCGACCTCAGATCGCCCGTAATTTATTTTTCCTTTAACTTTTGTTATATTCTCTACCTTTTCCAATGGGTTTCATCCTACTATATTTTTTTTTCACTTTTTACCATTTTTAAAATTATCGACCCTGGTCTATGTGAAGGCAAATTAGGGATAATTTGCCTTCACTTAACATCAGGTGGGGTGGAGTCATTTGTTGGACCTATGGATCTATAAAAAAAAATAAAAATATTCACCATTTTAAACTCGATGGTGCAGGTGGTAAGCGTGTTCGGCCGCAATCGTTAAAGTTAAGCAATTTTCGCAGTGGTCGAGGTGACCAAAGGTCATTGGATAGGTGACCAAAAATTTACTATCTCGTGCTTATCCGTGCTTCAAAAGGCACATTAAGCCGTCCCGGCTGCATCTGTAGTTGCCCAATCTCTCTATTCCAACCATAGGGAAGGCCTGTGCTGCAGTGGGGTAGGCAGATGATGATGATGAATCACAGACCAATAGTGCGTGTATCAGTAGTTACTCACCTTTCTCCTGAAGTGTTGCGGCACACCAGCGGGCAGCCGCGCCACCAGTCTCATGGCGTGGAGCCACTCCGCGTAGCCGCCCTCGCCCGGCCCCTCGCTGCCCGGCGTGATTCCGAATCGGGCGCCAGGATCGCCCGCTTTCAATAATAATTAAAATTATTAAAATTGTTTAAATAATAATAAAATTGCTTTTTACTGTAACATTTTAAGTACACTTAAGTATTTCACGAAAGAAAGAAAAGAATAAACTAGGACACTAACAAAGATGAAGTATGAGATACACTTTCGTTCATACTATACAGTATGATGTCTAGTTCAATCTAGTTCACAACATCTTCCTCATAACTCGCTCCTATTACTACAATTGTGCGATTACCCGAAGGAAAAAAAGGCTCTTTATGACCAATACATATAAAAGGACACATTTTTGCACAAATAATAGAAATACCTAGTCAAAATATTCGAGAAATAGACAAGATATTCCTGCTTCCTGCTATACCGCATATTATAAATTCCTCTCTTGACACCGGCACTTTCCCTATTCTATGGCGTAAAGCCTATGTACGCCCCCTTCCCAAAAGTTCCCAATCCAGCACAGCTTTCCCAGTCCTAATGAATTTCGGCCGATTTCCTTCCTCCCCTTAATGTCAAAAGTGCTAGAGGCTTGTGTCCACAAGCAATTCTCTCAATTCGTTCACAAAAACTCATTAATGAACCCTCTCTAATCCGGATTTAGGCCAGGACATAGCACAGTTTCAGCACTTCTAAAGGTGATTGGTGATGTTAGGATAGGAATGGAGAATGGTAAAGTAAGATGCTTAGTTCTTATAGATTTCTCTAATGCCTTTAATACTGTCAGTCATGATATTCTCATTTCGATACTATCCCATCTTATGGACTTTGACGAAGCGTTAACGTGGTTCTCATTCTATCTTCGGGACCGCCAGCAGTTAGTCCAATCTGGGGATTCTTCCTCATCCTGGCGCAGTCTGGAAACTGGTATTCTCCAAGGCGGTAATCTTTCTCCTCTTCTTTTTTTAACTTTTAATGATTTTATCATTCACAAACTTCAATGTTCGTATCATCTATATGCTGGCACCTTACAACTATTACAGAGACAAACAATGACAATTTAAATGATGCCATTGATGCTTTAAACAGTGATTTATTCGCTATTAAAACATGGTCGGACAGTTTCGGTGTAACTGTCAATGCTTCAAAATGCCAAGCCATTTTATTAGGTGGGTCAAAAATTATGAGCAGAATTAACAGCAGCGGTCTTGGTTCCATCATTTATGACGGCACTTCAGTTCCTTTCAGCAATGTTGTAAAAGATCTAGAATTATATATTGACTCGAGTTTTAAAGGGCAATATCAAGTATGTAGTGTATGTCAAAAAGATATGGGAAATCTGCGTGCTCTTTATCGCCTGAAAAAAATTCTGCCGGTCAATATCAAGGCAAGGCTTGTGCAAACCTTAATATTTCCTTTAATTGATTGTGGTAATGTGTGCTACCTCGACCTGAATGCAGATCTGCTCAATAAACTTGATCGACTTCTGCATAACTGCATTCAATTCGTTTTTAATTTTAGAAAATATGACCATGCACCATGTCGCATATCGTTTTCACTTAAAATGATTGCCTATTAGGCAGCGCAGATGTATGCGGGCTCTGACCACCTTGTTCTCTTTGTTAGATTCTTCAAATGCCCCCTTATCTCACTTCTCAATTTGAGTACTTATGTACGTCTCATACTAAAAATCTTCGATCTTCTTCTAATCGTTTACTTGGCGTTCCCTCTCACCGCTCTGGTATTTCAGTCACTCTTCCTTCATCATCAAAACTATACATTTGTGGAATGAACTCCCGTTAGCCATTACAATATTTTTTTTATGCGGCTATCCCCGTTTTGTGACAGGTCTTTACGTTTTTTTCTTTTTTCTGTTCTTTTTTTCTATATATTGTTTTAATTATATTACATGTTTTTTCTTATTCTAAGTTATGCATTAATTCTGTTTTACTCATTTCTTAAATTCTTATATCTATTTTACATACATTTCTTGTTTAATTATATCTTATGACTTTTACATTTTTGCTTCTTTATATATTTATTATTTTTACATTTTTATTATACTTATTTTATACTACATTTAACATTAATAGATTTACCCTATTTCAATTCCACTTTTTATTTAAAATCGAGAAGCTTCCTTTACTAATCCTTATTTCTTTTTATTACAATCTGTACTATTTCACGAAAATAGTCTAAGGGAATCCAATACCTAAATAAATTCTCATTAATTATTAAAGGTTGTATTTTTCCTTTCTATATTCAGTATTCTTTCAATATTCTCTACAACATACGAAAGAATCAGTAGCAATTAATACTGCCGATAGAAGGTGTCTGGCAGTATTCATTTCAAATCATTTACTATATTTTCCACACAAGGAAAGCATCAGTCCTCAGACTGTAAGTAAAGTGAGTAAAACTTTAACGTACTTGTACCACCTGAAATCTGCGAATTCACCCACGAAACAAATTAGCAAATACACACATCAAAAGTGTCTAGGGATCAACATATATTTTTGCAATAAGTTTTCTCCTGATTGATATTAATTAAAATTTTCTTTAAGGATTCATCAAATAAAGTGTTTTCGTTTGTCACACGTTTGTGACGATAAACCAAGTCACCTTTGCATTACTAAAGAAATTTGCCATTTTCCTAATAAAGGGATTTTTGACATTTGAACCACTAACACAAAAGTTCGAAAAAAAGACTGAAATAACAGTTTTCTCTAAAATTTTATTGGGTAACTTAAACAATTAATAATCCGTATTTCTACCGCGAACACTAACAACACAAGAACATCGGTTTGGCATACTCAAAATGAGTTCATCCAAATCACGCTGTGGAATGGCCGCCCATGTTCGTTGCAACAACAAAAAAAGGTCTTCTTGCGACTGGATACCCTCCATATTCGGCAGAGCTCTTCTCTGTAGCATATCCCATGCATGCTCAATCGGGTTCAAGTCTGGCGACTGAGCAGGCCAGGGCAGGACATTGATGTTAGCTGCGGCGAGAGTCTGTCTTATAACTCTTGCGGTGTGCGGTCGTGCATTATCATGCATTAACTGAAATAAGGGACCGATTTGCACTTGTAGAGGAACGATGACGTCTGATACAATCGTCTCAGCATAAATTTGAGCGTTGAGGTTGCCTCTGATCCAAATCAATTCAGTTCTTCCGCCGATCCAAATACCCGCCCATACCATGATGGTTCCACCACTATAAGGATGGACTTCCTGGCAGGATTTTAATCGCTGTTGGCGTCCAGGGGTTCTCCAGTGTCGTATACGTCTTGTATCCGGTCTCATACCAAAACGAGACTCATCAGAAAAGCACACGAAACGCCATTGTTCTTCTGCCCAATTTCTGTGTTCAAGAGCCCATTGATATCGAATCCTACGATTGTGCATTGCTATAGGTGGTACCCGTAGCGGTCTTCGGGAATGAAGGTTCACTTCATGCAAGCGGTTTCTGACTGTTTGGTCGCTAATTAAGTTCCCTGAAGAGTGATGAAGCCTCACGGCTAACATCATGGCGGTTATTGTTGGAGCTCTTCGAGTTAAGATTTGAATGTATCGGTCTTGTCTCCGTGTGGTGCAGCGATAGCGTCCTCCATGGCGCTCAGCCACGGTACCAGTGCTTCGGTATCGTGTCCAAAGTCGACTGATAACACTCTGACTTGTATTCAGAGCTAAAGCCACAGTACGTTGCCGGGAACCAGCTTCTATCATTCCCACGGCTCTGAGCATTTCTTCCCTGCCTAAATGACGTCGCCGCTCCATAATAACGTTGGTTTTAATCAGTAGTAGGGAAACAGTAGCACTAATAATGTCTATTGAAGACATTATTAGTGCGTTGTATGTTTTTATAGGGAAAATATTGACAGCTGATTTTCATCTTTTACTCGAATTTGATTCACAGTTCCTGATTCAAATTATGAAATGCACCAAAAAGGATCCATATAAATTTATAAAATCATAAATTTATTACAAAGCCACATCTCAATCTCAAGAAATCCGCATAAAAATGCTTGATCCCTAGACACTTTTGATGTGTGTATTTATACGTTAATTGTACAGACTACTCGATTGTACTTACATTTTTTGTCCATAAGAAAATAAGTAAGGTCCCTGGGATCTTATTCTGTTCCAAGTTTTACCAAGACCGCATTAGAGCCGTCATTTAAATACACTGCGTCCTGTACCCTAGCACGAACCAATATCGAATTCGTATCGTTTGCGAGTCCGAAATGTCATTGTCAAATGTGTACTGATTTTTAGTTCTCGTTACGTACTTTGTGTCGCTGCTGTTCAAGTTTCCATTCAAAATTTGACATTGACATTTCGGTTTGCAAACTATTCGAATTCGATAATGGTTCAAGCTAGGGGTACTGCTTCTTTAATGAGTCAGGTGGTGTGTTGTCTATTGTAACGATATGAAAGTGACAATGCCGTTAATAAAAAAAATACTTACAGCTGCGTCAGAAAATTCACATAGAAAGAGAAGGATCAGAAGTTTTTCACTGGTCATTAAAAAAATAAAAAAAAAATAGCAAAGGTTGAATATATATACCGTTCTGAAGGTTGAAAGGATTTTTATTTAAACTGATTTATTTTTAGTACTATTTTCAGTAATTTAATTATGGTATTTATTGACTTTATTATTTTTTATAGAATGACTAAACTATTTCATTATATAGGTATTAACCTGTTAAAAAAGTGTGCTTGATAAATAAATAAAATAAATATATCTTTTGACGTAGGAGTAGGTAATATCTAATTTCTAGAAATAAAAAAAAATTTGCTAATTTAACTTCGTTTATCTTGTAAAATGTTTTTGACCACTAAAAAATTGGTCTATAATTTTGATCACACAATATCGTTCTTTAACACCCTTTTTTAAACTTGTTTTCATTGGGTTAATACACCAACTCGCTGAATGCACTAATAGTTTAATTTCATTATTTAAATACTGATTTAAATATAATACAACATTCCCTAGGCCAGCGTATTATGTGATCTGATCTTACAACAGCAAAATACACTGTGATAAAGCAGTGAAAACCAT